TAGGGTTTAGGGTTGAAGGTCTAGTGTCCCTTCCTGTTTCCTTGGCTCTCAGGGGATCTAGTATTCTTGTAACTGGCTGCAACTTCGTGTGGGTTACGGATGATTATAGCCCTACTTATGCCCATCCTAACATCTTGAGTTCTGAGTCCTACACGCCGACTCCTCAACCTTGATCCCTAAACTCCAACCTCTTGCTTCCCTCGTTTTGGGGAGGTCGGTGCGATGTTGGGTTTCTTCGCATTCGGCGAGTCGGGCGTTGGAACTGTGGTGCCCTGGCCATTCTGGTTTCAAGAGCATGAGGTTTTGCGGGAATTGGCAGTTTGGGCGTAGTTACCGTAGGGCTCATACCAGGGCCCAAAGCCTCCTTCGTGAAATTTGTGTGAGGCTTGGCCATTTCCTGAGCCCCACTCACGCCTCCTAGTTGTGATGGGTGTCATAGAGGTGCAAGGCCTGGTGGTGTGAAGTTAGGGTTCAGGCTCTTGGTCCCGCAAACCCTGAACCCTAAGCCCTAAATCCTGCACATGCTTCAGGCATCCATTGCAGGTTAAGGTTGGGCGTTTAGTAGGAAAGCCAGCAGCGCAAGAAGCCACAATCACTGCAGTCAAGCCCGACGTCCTCTCTAGGGCTTCAAGGAGGTGAATAAGACACCGAAACCACAGACTGCCCTAAACCCTAAACCCTATAGCCTAAACCCTAAACCCTAAACCCTAAACCCTAAACCCTAAACCCTAAACCCTAAACCCTAAACCCTAAACCCTAAACCCTAAACCCTAAACCCTAAACCCTAAACCCTAAACCCTAAACCCTAAACCCTAAACCCTTGCCCTGAAGCCTGAACCTCTGAGCCGACTTGCAAACCCCCGAGACTTGGAAAAGGGCTTCCGCGAAACCTACCTCAATCCTATGGGGTTTAGGGTTTAGGGTTTAGGGTTTAGGGTTTAGGGTTTAGGGTTTAGGGTTTAGGGTTTAGGGTTTAGGGTTTAGGGTTTAGGGTTTAGGGTACTCTACACCTTAACCCCTAAATCCTAAACCCCTACAACCCAGAATCTTCCAGCTGCCGCTGAGGATACTTCTCGGGGAGTTGAAGAACCGCGCCTCGCTCCGACATGGGGGCACACCCCGGGGCCAAAATGTAGGGCTCAGAAAGGCCCCCCAAGAAATGCAACCCAAACCCTAGACCCTAAACCCCAAACCCTCAACCCTAAACCCTAGACCCTAAACCCTAAACTCTAAACCCTAAACTCCAAACCCCAAACCCTAGGCCCTAAACGCTAAACCCTTCTTCTTAGGTTACCGGAGAATCAAAGACTCGCCACAGTTCGGAGCAGAGCTGGACGGTTTTGCAACCCCATGGGGCTTCGTGTTCTCAAAATCTTTGGTTGTAGAGTTTACGGTTTATAGGGCTTACAGGGGTTATAGGGCTTTAGGGGTTTAGCGGCTTAGGGTTCATAGCGTTTTGGGTCTGGGGTTTAAGTCTGCACGGACGTTTCTACGCACCGCCCCGTCCTCTCAGGCAAGTCGCAAGTGTGCCAGACTGCAAGTCTGCGGAGTTCTTCCAGATCATGCAAAGTTCCTCGTCCGGTGGTGGTGTAGGGGGTTTAGGGTTTAGGGCTTAGGGTTTAGGGTTTAGGGCTTAGGGCTTAGGGTTTAGGGTTGAGGGCCGATTTACCCGATAAGCTTTAAAGGTCGCTGCTTTGCATTGCGAATTGTTCTCAGGGCCGGGAGGGGCATATCGGGAACAATCTCCTTCATCACAGACCTTCTTGTTCCCAGTTCCTAGGTGGGATAAGGGGGACCCTTAAAAGGGAACCCCTTCTTAACCCTCTTCTGGCTCTCTTAACAAGGGACCTTATTCAGAGGGTCTATATCCAGTAAACGATCCTTGGTGTCCAGTGTCAAGGAGTCAAAGGGCCGTGGCTAAAACCCTCGGCAGCCCAGTGGTACCCTTTAACCTTTTTGGGGGCTCCTGCAGTAAACAGCCCCCAAATATTATAACATGGAGGGTTTAGGGTTCAAGGTTTAGGGGTTTAGGGCTACTGGGCTGCCAAGAACCAAAACCACCAGGTTTCCTGGATGCTTTGGAGCACTGCGCGCAGAGCTCAGTGAGGGCTCACAGGAAAGTTATAGGGGCTTATGTAGGACTTCAGGGATTTAGGGCTTTAGGTTTATCCAGGGCTTTGGGGGTTTAGGCCTTAAGCCCGAAACCCTAAACTCTAAAATCTAAAGCAACGTTGGGCTGCGGGCTCTTAGTAGAGAAACGAGGGAGTGGGTCACCTGATATCCCCCTGTACACACCCCCTGAAGAAAAATGCTAAGAACCAGTAGGCCAGGAGCTTGGCCCACTTCGTCCTAGGAGCCCGAAGCCCTGAAACCCTAAACCCTAGGAACCCCCCCAAAAAAGCCCAAAAACCCTACACAGGCCTCAAAAAAAAACACAAACCCTAAGACATGCGGAACATGTCTAGCCCTAAAACCCTCAGCCCTAAACATAGAACCCCCTTGATTCGACAAAGGTCGCCGAGCCGACGCCATCGGGGCCATGACCTTCGCAGCTCCGGGCGCGTTCGAGTGAGAGAGACTCACCAAGCCCCAGGGGTGCACGGTTTTTTAGGATCCAGAGAGGCCTTGCAAGTCCTAAACGTCCCCGGAACCCAAAGTTCTGCCCTCAGTGAAGCGAAAAGCGGGGCCCTGGATTCTCATGATTCCAGTTTAGGGTTTTGTCGCTTTTGGGCTTGGTCTGCTTTAACTACGACCTTCGCGAGCCCTCTTGGCGTCAATGTGGGGGAGGGGGGTCTCTCTCCGTGAAGCTGCATTGCTACGTGGCTGAGAGCCTCCGAATTGAATTCGAAGCATGCCATTTTCGACTGGGTCGGCCAAGCAGGTCTTCAAGGCGAAGCATTTTACTAGACGGGATCATGAGAAGATGACTGTTGTAGCTAGCCGTCTCAGGGGCTGAGTATGGAACCTTTGCCACTTAGAACGGTATTTCTAGCCTTATTAGGGCACTTAAGGGCCTTACAAGTGGGCTATAAGTACAGCTATAATTGGTTAATAAGTGCCATGACCTCCACGTACAGCTGAGACAAGGTGGCCTGTGCTGGTACCCCAGGAGATATGGCCGCGAGATGCACCGCCAGGCGGTGGCTACTGGAAGTCTGGCGGGAACGACCCTGAACTGAGGGGCTTGGTAAGTACGTTGAACCCTTAACCCTAAACCCTAGCTCTAAACCCCGAAACCCTAGACCCTGCGACCTCATTCCGCGCCTGAAAGCGCAGCCACGAAAGTAAAAAGCGCCTTGAGAACCCTAAAACCCTAATGAGGTGGAAGGTTCCTTTCTCCATCACTTCCCGCCATGGGCACACAGCATATAGGGTAGTGGGCTTCGGGCTTTGAATCTAAGGCCTCGTTTCTAGACGGCATTCTGGCACCAAATTTCGAACTACGCGTGTGAGGAGTTGAGCATATTGTGTGTGTGTGTGTGCGCACGGAACGTTTTAGTTTGTAATGCAATCCCTGAGCGTCGCCTTCTGTGTAGGGTCTCTGTCTGCTGGCCCATCTGCGCATGGCATCGAGCTGCCTCAGTATCGGCACACCGCTTAGAGTCCATGGATCCCTGTGACAGAGCACGCCGGCCAAAAGCAACCTCAAGCCAAATCCCAAATCTGCGAATATAGACCCCCAAGTAATGTGGGGGGTTCCGAGATCAGGGATACCTGATTGGGGTTCTCATTATAAGGGATACGATTTTGGGGACTACATTAGCCCCCATGTAGGAATCCATGTCGCTCCTGACTTCCCAAATTGTGGCGATGGATCGCATCACGCTGCGCAGAGCTGCCGAGGGTCTTTAAGACGCGCTCCGACCCGAGACCTGCCGTGAACCCCAAAAGCCTGGAAGCCTGAAGGGTTTAGGGCCTAGGGTTTAGGGGTTGCCTGAAGGGTTTAGGGCCTTAGGGGTTTAGGGGTTTAGGAGTTTAGGGGTTTAGGGGTTTAGGGGTTTAGGGGTTTAGGGGTTTAGGGGTTTCGGGGTTTCGGGGTTTCGGGGTTTAGGGGTTGAGGGGTTTAGGGGTTTCGGGGTTTCGGGGTTTAGGGGTTTAGGGGGTTTAGGGGGTTTAGGGGGTTTAGGGGGTTTAGGGGGTTTAGGGGGTTTAGAGGGTTTAGAGGGTTTAGGGGGAACCCTAAAGCTCCACATGGTGCATAGTCAAAGCCATGGTGCGCCACACGCCTCAAGCGTGCAGGGGACATCAGCTGTGAGGCTAGACCTCGCTTCAGAGGTGAAGGCGTTATTGGGGTTTACAGGGCTTAGGGTTGAACATCTGTACGGTGGCTAACACGAAAGGAGTTGCAGTTCACAGGGTTCATACTGCACATGTGCACATGTGTATATGATATATATATATATATACACATATATATATATGTATATATATATATATATCATACATACATACTTGTGTCACTTATATATTATATCATCTTATCTTATCTCATATTAGATCATATTATATTGTATATCTATATTCATATTCATATATATATATATATGTCATGTTATATCAGATCTTTCTATAGGTACATTTTGCTCTTGGCGCTGAGAGGGTTCAGAGGGCTGGCATCCAGCCTCTCCATCGCACGCGGACGGCGCAGAATGAACAAAATGGGGCTTGGGTTTAGGGTTTAGGGTTTAGGGTTTAGGGTTTAGGGTTTAGGGTATAGGGTTTGGGGTTTGGGGTTTAGGGTTTAGGGTTTAGGTTTTACGGTTTAGGGTTTAGGGTTTAGGCCCTAGTATTTCCAGCATTCCCGCTAGTCTGTAGGGCGATATTGCAGGGAAGCAAACCTGAGCCGAGAATTAACGCAGACCGGAGTTAGGCTTTAGGATTCCGGGCTAGCGGCTTAGGCGTTAGGAATTAGGGTTTAGGAGTTAGCTTGAGTTAGGATGTAGGGTGCCGAAGTTGGGCTTAGGACTTTGGACTAGTTTAGGGTACCGCTTGCTCGGCAGGACTCGGATGCTCAGTGGCTGGAGGATGCGTCTGTTTGATCGCGGGGTGGCTCTCTGTTGCTTTTCCAAGAGGTCTCCAGTTCAGTGGTTCAGGCAGGCAGCCCAAAACCGTGCGGGCCGGCTTTGTAGGAGCCCCTTACTGTTTCTGAGTAGCTGAATGAGTACACTTTACACTTTTTGGGAGACTATAATCTCCTATAGATCTGAAAGCGTACACTTTTTGGGGGCTTATGAACTCAGCAACTAAGGTTTGCTCTAAACCTGGGCTATTGATAGTGCCCTCTGCCGAATGAGCGTTACTCGCTCTGCGGAACTGTCTCCAGGGCCTCAGTAGATTCAGCTGCCGACCAGTGTAACTAGGACCCAGAGTAGTCCCTCATGCAAAATTCTCTCGTGCAGGCTCAAGAAGTCCTTCAAGCCAACGAAACCAACCTGATCCTGAACCCTAAATCCTAACACCTGAACGCTAAATCCTGTCCGATGTTTGAAGTTTGAATCTTGTGTAGCAAACGTCCTCTGCACAGAGGGTGGTGAGGATTGTTGAGCTTACATACACCCTGCATTGTAAACGGTATATGAGGCTTGCATAAACAGCAACTACCCACTTGTGACCTACTGGTTCTTTCTGCAGAATCCCTCCATAAAGGGCATATATCGGGGAAATAAGGTACCTAGTCCCCTCATTCCCGATTAAGAACCATACACCCCAACCCTAAACCCTAAACCCTAAACCCTAAACCCTAAACCCTAAACCCCAAACCCGAAACAGCAGGTAACTGTCCTTTTTTGGTGAGGACATGGGCTTCGAGGAATCAGACGTGGCGGCAGCGCTCGCGGAGGCCGTTTTTTGTTGGACTCCGCCTTGCAGATGGTCCCCTAAACCCTAAACCCCTTAACCCCTTAACCCCTAAACCCTAAACCCTAAACCGACCCTAAACCCTAAAGCTCGCATCAATCGCATTCGTGCTCTGCCGAGTAGCCTAGCGCTGCGCTCTTCTCCCTAAAATGCCCATGCGCAGATCTTGTTGGCTGCACATCTTGTTCAGGTCAAAGCATGAACGCGTCTACACCAAGAGCATGGCTTATAGGATTCTCAAGGGAGGGGGGTTCAAGAAAATTGTAACCCAAGGTTCCCTAATACTCCCCCGCTACTTATACATGGCCGGTAGGTTGTACTTGGAGGTTCATGGATCGTAAGAAGTAGGGTTCTGAGCACCCTAAATAGGGTTGCAACCTCAGTTACCCATACTCATAGGCCTACTCATGTAGATGTTGCCTCCGCAAATTTTGGCTCCAGCCGCCTCTAAGTCCTCTCACGCCTCCCTTACGCACTGCCTGCACATCCTGTCATCATGGCTCCCATGAAGGCGATGAAGGCCTGTGATCCTTGACGTTCCCTTGGGATGCTCCCCCTTATACTAACAGTCCTTCAGTTATATATTTGGGGGTGGGGGTACTAAGAAACTGTTAGTATAAGGGGGAACATCCCAAACGTTCCCTGTTGCAGTCTTGCTCTCTACATGAGCTGCAACCTTGAAGACAACGCAGGCGATGAAGGCCATGAAGGCGCTTTGCACACCGCCGATTCGGGGTCCGCTCAAATGCTGATAGGCGTTTGCGGTTCTGGGGGTGAACTGGAAATGAGTTTAAAGTTCTGTGCCAAGTACCGGCCGAAAACCCCCTATCTAGCTATCTGAGGGTTTTTGTGTGCTGAGTTCAGTTCGTTGTGCTGCCACAGCGTTTGACGGTCAATGGGTTCGAATGGTTTTGGGCGTGGGTACTATCCTAATGGCTCCTATGCAATGCTTTTTTGGGTAGCATACTGTAACTCCTTGTACCCACGCTAAAAGAAAAGGAAGTACTACATTAGGGTCTAGATCACTACACACCCTACACCATACACCCCAAACCTAAGGATCCTAAACAGACAGCCGGTAAGGATTTGTGCCTCCACGCTTCGCATATTTCAAGATCCTGAGCAAGAGCCCGACAATCCCTTCATGGGAGGGGCCTTTCCCAAGATGTCCCGAGGACGACGATGGCAGTGGATTGCTTGAGGGTTAGCCGCAACAAAGAAAGCTGTACCTGGCAGGCCATGAAAGCAATGAAGGCCATGAAGGCAAGCTGCATTTGTGTGGTGGGCAGAGTTTTCGGATGCAGTTGGAAGTGGACTTTTTTGGGTTGAGAGAACCGCCCATATTGTCAGAATTCGTTTTGTTCTTGGGAAATATGGCGGATCAGGGATAGAACGGTTTCGAGTTCGGGCCGTCTTCTCGCCGAGAACGGAAGTCTTGCAGCAGCCCTGCGAAAGCGAGGTGTGCTGCACTGAGCCAAACATACCCTAAACCCGAAACCCTAAACCCTAAATCCCAAACCCTAACGGCCCGAAACCCACAATGGGGGGGTAGTGACCCTCGGCCTCGACAGGCCATGAAGGCAATGAAAGCCATGAAGGCAAGGGGGATCGCACGGAGTCTCTGGGTTAGTGACCGGTTTAGGGTTTAGGGTATTTAGGGTTTAAGGTTTTGGGTTTAGGGTGTAGGGTGTAGGGTTTTGGGCTTGCTTTAAGCGCTGTAGGGCAAGCCATGGAAAAGCTTTGGCTTCTTTAGCCTTGCGGGCTCGTCAGGCGATGAAGAAGGCGGACGATGAGGAAGCCCCGATGAAGAGCATGAAGAGCATGAAGGCAATGAAGGCTCTCGAATCGAATCCCAAGGGTCCAACCCCCCCCCCCCCCCCCCTCACCCCCCCCCCCCCCCCCTCTGCCCTTGCCCCTGGCTGGCAGTCGTAGAGCATGACACACGTGCTCCAGCTATTCAGAGAACTCTGAAGTCCCAAACCCACCGTGAAGTATAGGCAGAGTGTCACTCGGTCAGGGAGTCGGGAGGTGCGAGTCTGGGTGCCCGGTAAAATCACAAAAGCCCTCAGTCCCACAAAGAACGCCCAACAGGCCCTATTCAACCACCTAAGCCCTTCCACGCGGACTTAAATCCGACAAGAAGTACGCCCTGCGGCCCTGTAGCATCCGTACAACCCACAACCTACAAACCCTACTTAAAGGTTCATGGCACTTATTAACCAGTGTAACTGTACTTCTAACCCAGTCATAAGCCTCTTAAGCGCCCTAATATGGCTATAAGTACCGTGACAAGAACAGTTATAATTGGTAAGCATGGCCCCCGTGGAATCGGCCGCGTGTTTGTGGGAGAGGCGATGAAGGCCATGAAAGCGATGAAGGTGCCAGCTTGGTCCGGGTGTTTTGGGGCTTTGGGGGCTTTTAGGTTTCAGGGCTGTAGGGATTGGGGTTTTGCATGGCTTTCGGGCTGCGCAAATTGTACTAAACAGGGCATATCTACCTCCGAAAAAATAACAGAGGAGGTTCGGAAGCTTTAGAGCGCTTGATGCGGAGGGACTCCCAGAAAAAAAGCGCGATGGCATCCCCCTTGCCCTGGACTGGTGGGTTGGTGGCCTGCAGTCTAAGGTAGTTGAGGGGGTCTCGGAGTTGCTGGGCTGGCAGAGACCCCCTCTTTCTGCAGGCAATGAAAGCCATGAAGGCGATGAAGGCGATGAAGGCAGGCTTCTCCGATGCCGCCTAAACCCAAAACCCAAAACCCAAAACCCTAAACCCTAAACCCTAAACCCTAAACCCTAAACCCTAAACCCGGCGAGCCCTGAACCCTGGGCTGAGGCAATGAAGGCGATGAAGTGAGCAGTTCTGGCACGCCACGTTTCCAGGGGCACCTGTCAGGTCCCTAGGGCCTGCCTCCCAACTGCCAGACGCGGCCTCCGCCTGTACAGGAAAAGAGTCCGGATAGCCCAAAACCCCTTTGTTAAGCAAGATTCCTTAATAAAAGCATATCGTGACCCTTAGTATGATTTAAGGAAATATTCCTTAATGAAGGGGTATTGGGCTCTTTGGGAATCCGAAGCGTCAGGCGGTTTTGGGGTTCAGGGTTCAGGCGGAATCTCCTGTGTCTTGGGAGGGGCCGGGGTGTTTGCACCCACCTATGCAAGTTTTCATGGGTTACGGCGATTCGGGGTTTGGCTCAAGAATTGTGCGATGCCGAGGTGGATATGCAAGATTAAGCCCTAAACCCTAAACCTTTGGCTTTTGTCAGGTTGTCGGCTCTTCCAAAGATAGTAAGCTATTCAGGCGGGTGTCAGGACTGTAGGTGGCTTTTCGGGACCGGAACACAGCCTGCAGTTTTGTATCTATGGGACGAAACAATCAAAGTCTCGATTTACAGAAAAGAAGTTCGCATGTGACGACAAAAGAAGTCCCCCAGCACAGTTCACCACGAGCAAACCAACATGAAAGCAAACGCCATCCCTAAATCCCAAACTCCTCAACTCCTCAGGAAGGCAAGCTTCGCTTACTGACTTCCATCAGCAAAAAACATCCCTCAACCCTGAGCCCCAAAGCCGACCCGGAGCTCATGAACACTTCAAGGCAGTCTTGATTGCTTGCCAGGTGTGTTGTGGGTAACGCCCACATAAAACCGTAGTCATAACTATTCATTGACCCCCCAAGTAAAGCCCACATACCCGAACCCCTAAACCCCAAACCCTACAAACCCGAAACCTGGTATAACCCTCGCTGGACCAGGCAGGCGGAAACCCCGACGAGGCACTCAGCACCCTGCGCAAGCGACCTGCGCTCAGTTCTTTTTGTTGGGGGGGTTCAGGGTTTGGGGGGGTTTAGGGTTTAGGGTTTGGGGTTTGGGGTTTAGGGTTTAGGGTTTGGGGTTTACAGTTTCGGGACCTTATGTCATCTCTTGAAGGCTTCTGTTGGGGGAGTATTAATGGCTGCCTTCAGTGTCGCCCACTAAACGGAACCCTGAAAACCGCCCAGTATTTTGGGTGGTAAGTGTACAGGGCTTAGACTGAGATTTAATGGTTGCTAATTGCAGTGAGAGCGGGGGCGGGAGGGGTGGGTGTGGGCTGGCACTGTAGCCCTGAGAAACTCGCGCATTCTTGCTGCAACTCTTCTAGGCGGGTTTAGGGCTTAGAGTCTTCGGGCTCCCCCACCCCCCTACGCCCTAAGTCCTGCACACCCTAACCCGCCCCCCAAAGCAAGGAGCGGCTCCCGCTTGCAACGAGGCAGGGAGAGTTGCGGTTGAGGGGTGAGGGTTGAGGGTTGAGGGTTTAGGGTTTAGGGTTTAGGGTCTAGGGCGCGAGGGCTTACAGGTGGTTTGGGTCCGGGGTTTGGGTTTGGGGCTCATGGTCCCCCTGGCCTTGCTACTTCCTCATGAAAGCACTACTAGGGCTTAAGGTTTTCACGTGATCAGCTCCATAAACTAGTGAGCACTTCTTTGCACCCGATATGCTAGAGCTACGGTACCCAAAAGATGAAGGGGAGCGCGGAAGATGTAACAAAGGTTGGTTCGAGAGGTTACGGCTGTGATGCCTTGTTTCTGAAGGATGCAGGTGTGACACTCTTGAACTAAGGAAGACGTAGGCCTTATGCCGATCTTTCGGGTGAGTACTCGTAGTCTATGGGGCAGGGCGTTTCTGCATGTGGGGCGGCTGGGAGCATCATCTGCCGGAGCGTGAACCGCCTAAAGCTCTTAAATGCCGAAAGGCTCAAGCCACGAACACGGAGCTCTGAGACCACGACGCTCCCCCTGAAGCCTGAAATCCCTCAAGCCAGAAGCTCGGCGGACTTCGGGATATTTCGTCTTCCCCCCTTGTATGAGGTTTTACAGAGGATCCTATTGGGGAATACCTCATTAATCAGAAGGCTTAAAGGGCCAACCGGACCAATAACCCCAAACCCCAAACCCCAAACCCGAAACCCCAAACCCCAAGCCCCAAACCCTAAACCCTAAACCCTGAGCCCTGAGCCCTGGACCCTGGACCCTGAACCCCAAGCCCCAAACCCCAAACCCCAAACCCCAAACCCCAAACCCCAGACCCCAAACCCCAAACCCCAAACCCAAACCCCAAACCCCAAACCCCAAACCCCAAACCCCAAACCCCAAACCCCAAACCCCAAACCCCAAACCCCAAACCCTAAACCCTAAACCCTAAACCCTAAACGGGTCTAAACCCTGAACCCCAAACCCCAAACCCTAAACCCTAAACCCTAAACCCTAAACCCTAAACCCTAAACCCTAAACCCTAAACCCTGGAGAGGCTGAATCGCCTGAGACGAAGAGGTCCAAGGCGACCTTCGAGGTCCCGAGACAAGGGGAGGGGAAGAAAAACCCTAACCCCTTCTTTAGGGTTTAGGGTTTAGGGTTTAGGGTTTAGGGTTTAGGGTTTAGGGTTTAGGGTTTAGGGTTTAGGGTTTAGGGTTTCGGGTTTCGGGTTTCGGGTTTCGGGTTTAAGGTTTCCCCTGAAGCCTACAATGGCCCCGAATGGGCCCGGTTGGGTATGCCTCCCTGGTGCCGCAGCGCGCCAAACCGGAACTTCCAAATCCGATGGGGTTTAGGGTTTAGGGTTTGGGGTTTAGGGTTCAGGGTTCAGGGTTTAGGGTTTAAGGTTCAAGCTTTGAGGTGGTAACTGTTTCTTTCAGTGCCATGATAAACGGTCCGACAGTTTACCCCACTTTGCCGTAGGTTGTGGTGGTCACTCGAGCCGGCAACGGGCGTGTCCCTTCAGTGGATCCTAAATCAGAGCCCCCGAAAAACTAACCCTAAACTCCAAACCCTAATGACCGTAATGCTAAATGAGCAAGCGCCAAAACTCCCAGCCATTCAAGTAAGTAAGGGGTGGACACGAGTGCCCAAAACCCTGTAAAGCGATGGGAACACCTGAAACGCGACACCCCTGAGTTAATGGGCTATAGCCTTGATATTCCCAAAGCGACACCTGCAGACATCAAGCGTGGATAACTGATGCTAAAACCCTGCACAGCGATGGGAACACTTGAAAAGTGACAACCTCATGTTGCGTCCATTCGTTACGCAAGCCGGTTCGGCAGTCGCCTTAAATCCTGGACTCTCAGGCCCCTGTGAAAAAGATAACCCCCCCCCCCCCCCCCCCCTACCCCCCCCCCCCCCCCATTTCCCCCCCCCTCTCCTTTTCCCCCCACACCCCCCCCCCCCCCCCCAAACTTAAGCCGTGCAAACCCTCAAACAGAGCAACCCTTGCCCTAACGTCAAAGATTGAACCCAGAAGTTCAAAACTCTTAAACAATGCTCAAAACTTGCTTTGCCAAAAGCCCTGAAAGCCCTAAGACCCCAGTTCAACTCTCAACCCTCAAACCGCTCTATATCATATCCTAAACCCTAAGTCCTAAACCCTAAATAACCCTAAACACTAAGTCCTAAACCCTAAACCCTAGATCTTCTACCAGGTCGAAGGTCTGCCCTGCAGAGCTGTTGGCTCGCGACTGTGCGCCTGCGGGCAGAAGGGTTCCGGATATTGTTTGGCGTCCTTGGGGTTCTTGTGTAGTCTTAGGGTTCTTGCAATTCTTCGGGTTTCTTGCAAGTCTTGGGTTTCTTGCAATTCATGGGGTTCTTGCAAATCTTAGGGTTTGAGGTTTTTTTTTAGGACTCACAGGCATCTTGGGGTTTATTGGCTTCCAAGGGATTCCAGAGTTAAGGTTTACCGTTGCGTGGACGCGTGGATTCTGTGTTGCTGCGCGGAAGACGGCTTGCGGTGACCTGAAACCGCCCAACTCGCCAACCCGCTACCCTCCCTGATGGCCTCCAGTCCGATAAACCCTACACCCTAAATGGCTGAACCCTGCTAACCCTGGCCCTAACTTCAAAACCCCTCAGAAACTCTAAGAACTCAATTCTCGAGCCCTCTGCCCCGAAATTTCCCAAAATGAACGGGCCCCAAACTCAAAGTCCTCTAAACCACAGATGCCAAGCATTCCTCAACTGTTCGCATTTTGGGTTTGGGGCTTATTTGGGGGTTTACGAAAATAGGGGACCCCAAAAATAGACCCCAAATAGAAGGATGCCCTTATAATGAGGACCTCAATAAGGTACCCCTATTCTCGGAAACCACCATGTGGAAGTGTTGCCACAGGATTCTGCATCTGCCCCGTCTGGGTGTAGATGGCCTCAGCCCCAGCCAACGCGACATGATCTGGGTGCCACTGTTTGTTCTTGTTCCAAACCCTAAACCCTAAACCCTAAACCCTAAACCCTAAACCCTAAACCCTAAACCCTAAACCCTAAACCCTAAACCCTAAACCCTATAAACCCTAAGCTTTAAACCCTAAACGCTAAGCCACCTCCGCCGTCCTAAGCGGCCCCTTTTGTAGGCGAGCTTGCTGTCAACCGGGGCCCCTACTGCGGAACCATCTCCATGTGAAGTAGGGTTCCTGCTACGTTTTTCGTGGTTAGTTCAGGGTTCAGGGTTCAGGGTTCAGGGTTTAGGGTTTAGGGTAAGCAAGATCTACTGCCTTCAGAGCCCGCACAGCAGCCGACTCTGTCCAGCTAACATGATCCAGTTGTCTTAGGTTTACCCCTCAGCCTTAGACCCATAGGGCTTTGAGGGCATGTATAGGGTTTATGGGGCTTCGGGTCCGGTTTTGGCGAAGCCATGCATGAATCTACACCTCAAAGACTGAAGCCTCAAACCTGAAGACCCGAATACAGCTCCCAAAAAGCTTTAAACCCTAAACAACGAAGCACTATCCAAGTGCAGGTGCCTACCTCATGAATGAGCACGCTACGTACCATACATGCCGTAGTTGCTGTATATGCAATACGCGCCATAAGCACTCCTTGCCGAACAAATGTGTGAATGAGGCCACGATGTTTCTCAGAGGGTTTCTCATGATACCCGCCCGTTCTTCCTAAACCGGCGAGGTCCGCCGGTCGGAAAGACCCGCAAAGACGGCAGTATGCTCCTGGAGGTCGACGAATGGGCAGGAGGCTCAGCCAAGGGTTTAGGGTTTAGGGTTCAGGGTTTTGGGTTTAGGGTTTAGGGTTTGCGAATCCTAGAAATGGTAAGCAGTGGGAGTCTCCTGGTCCTTTTTGGACGCTTGCGGGTCTGGGGTCGTAGACACCTTCAACCTTATAGCACACCTTGATCTCTCAGAGTGGGGTGGTTGGATGTTTGAGGGGTTTTGGTGGTTGAGGCGGTTGGACCTAGATCCCTTGGGTTTTCGAATTTACGGCTTTGGCTGCACAAGAAGCTGTGAGAGCTTAGCGTTGAGGGATTTGGGGTCTTGCACCTTCACGGGTAGAGATATACGTGTGGCATGGGGGTGAGAAGTACCCCTCCTTGGTAGGATAAGGGGGACCCTTAAAAGGGAACCCCTTCTGAACCCTCTTCTGGCTCTCTTAAAAAGGGACCTTATTCAGAGGGTCTATATCCCCAAGGGTCCCCCTAATCCTATCCCCTAACCCCTAAGCAAGGCGACAACCAGCTGCAACTGTAGCTGTCCCTCTTGCAACCCCTACAGCTGCCGATCAAGCGGCAAAAGGTGCTTGGCGTTTCCCAGATTGTTGGGCCTAAACTAAACTTACTCATACTATCCCTTTAGGGTCCCTATATAATTCTACTCTAATAGCCCCCCCAAAACCCTATTCTAATTATTCAGGCCCCTAAACTACGCCCTCTCCCAGATACGCGAGCTATTCGACGCCGCCCCTCCGCGCGCCGAGCCTTCCAGCCGGACGGCCAGACCTTTCCTGAACCCCTGAACCCCTAAACCCTGAACCATGAACCCTACTAAACCCTAAACCCTAAACCCTGAACCCTGAACCCTGAACCCTGAACCCTGAGCCCTGAGCCCTGAGCCCTGAGCCCTGAGCCCTGAGCCCTGAGCCCTGAGCCCTGAGCCCTGAGCCCTGAGCCTTGAGCCCTAACCCGTATAAACCTTCGACACTAATCTCTAAACCCTACACCCCAACTGTAGTCCCGGGCGGCTTCACACTTGAAACCCTAGCATTACGATGGATGGCGAAGGGGGAGGGGGATGTTTTGTAGTCGAGGGCGGGTTGCATGCTTGAGGTTTGGATGTTTTCGTGTCATTCTTCGGGTTGCCTTGGTACTTGCATGCAACTCTTGGCTCCAGGATAAATGTCGTAAACCCTAAACCCTAAACCCTAAACCCTAAACCCTAAACCCTAAACCCTAAACCCTAAACCCTAAACATCGTGTTTTCTTTGAGGGGGGCGAAGGGAAAGGCTTGGGCGCCTAAAGGAAGGTAAAATTGCATCCCCGACAACCGCTGCAAGAGTTTAAATACTAGACTGATAAGAGGTTCTTGTGGTCAGGCGCGGTGGCAATTTCAGAAATCGAGCACTAGGGTACAGCTACCCACGGGAGCCTCATACGGTACGGTAGAACTGACTCTCTGCCCCCACTGAAATGTCCAGTGCGTAGCATGAAATCCTAGCCCGAAACCCTAAACCCCAAACCCTAAACCCTAAACCCCAAACCCTAAACCCTAAACCCCGAACCCCGAACCGCGAACCCGAAGCTTACATGCGGCGTTCCAGGCCCAGATGGCTTTGACGTGAGCGCGGCCGTAGAGGCCCTGAGTGCGGAGAGGCTCCGGGTTTAGGGTTTAGGGCTTGGGGTTCAGGGTTTAGGGTTTAGGGTTTAGGGTTTAGGGTTTAGGGTTTAGGGTTTAGGGTTTAGGGTTTAGGGTTTAGGGTTTAGGGTTTAGGGTTTAGGGTTTAGGGTTAGGTTTAGGGTTTAGGGTTTAGGGTTTAGGGTTTAGGGTTTAGGGTTTAGGGTTTAGGGTAGGGTTTAGGGTTTAGGGGTTAGGGTTCAGGGGGTTCGGATTTGCTGTTGGGGCGTGCGGCGTCAGTGCTTAGCGAGATTTGTTGTCGTTGCCGGCGCTTTCGCGCTGTAATTGTGGCCGTTCTAAGCCAGAGGCCCCTTCTTCTGATGCATACGATGATTACGAGACCCCTCAACAGACCCCAAAAAATCACAAAAAACGCTTATTTGGAGCCATCCTCGTAGAGCCAAAAAAGGGTTCCAACATTCTCCCCTAAAGCAGACAAAGTAGCCGGCCATAGCTAGCTACAGCTCTTCTACTCGACAACCCTACTTCTACACTAGCGAGACACCCAAAAAACCCTGCCACGAACTCAAACAACGAGGCCCTGGCTGTGGCAGGGCTTTGCGACCCAGCAGGAGGCCAACTCCCCCCCCCCCCCCCGGAATCCCCCTTGAACCCGCTTAGGGGCTAAGGGGTGGCGACTTTGAGACCTAGGGGCATGGGTTTTGTGGGATTTACGGTGTGGGGCCCTTGTTCCCTCTTTTGGAGGGGTGGTTGGGTTGTAAACCCCTTTAAGCAGCGAAGGTGTACCGTTATTCCTGGGAACGAGATATGCGGCCGCTCACGTCTTGGGGATGGAGATGAAGGGGAATTTGGGCCTTCAGGGGCTTGAGCCTGAACCCTAACCCTAAACCCTAAACCCTAAACCCCAAACCCCAAACCCTAAACCCTAAACCCTAAAGCGTCTTTGTGATTCACCTTTTCCGGCTTTGGCGCTTCTCACGGGGGCAGGTGATGCAGGCTGCCGCCGAGCTGGATGGCCTCCGCGAGCGAGGGGCCCATGCATCCCTGCCTTGTCGGGCTTCGGGGCTGTATGTACTTGGGTTTAGGGTTTAGGGTTTAGGGTTTGGGTTTAGGGTTTAGGGTTTAGGGTTTAGGGTTTAGGGTTTAGGGATTAGGTTGCGTTTCTGATAGAATGATAGAATGTAGGCGCCTGAAGGAATGATTCGCATCAGGGTTCTTGATTTGTTGGGCTGTTTTTTTGGCCTGCAGCATATGAACTTTCCACCACGAACCCTAAACCCTAAACCCTAAACCCTAAACCCTAAACCCTAAACCCTAAACCCTAAACCCTAACCCCAAACATGAGCCCTACATCCATGCCTGTTCGGACGCCCAGGCGAGGTGTGCTGAAGGCTGCCAATGCTGACACCACGGGCGCGCAGAAGGTCACAACGCGGCCACGCATGAGCTGTTCGGGTTTAGGGTTAGGGTTTAGGGTTTAGGGTTTAGGGCTATAGGGTTTAGGGTTATTAGGTTTTAGGGTTTAGAGATAGAGGGTTCAGAGATCCGAGGATGAACCCCCTCAGCACCTACACTCGGAACCCCTCGTCGCGTGTCAGGCTCGCAGCGACAGGGTCGCGTTTCTTGAGGCGGCCGGGCTCAATGCAGGGTTTAGGGCTTAGGGAGCTTAGGGTTTCAGATGTCGGGCGTTTGCAGCCCCTACTTCTGAAAGGTTTGTAAAGAAAGTTTCCCAAAAGAGTTAAAAGTTTTGACCCTGAACCTACCTGAGCCCTTCTGGGGTTTAGCCAGCCGATCAGGGTAGAGGGTAGAGGGCTTCAGGTTTAGGACTTTCAGAGGCTGGCGGTTGTACGAGAATAAGACACCCCCTATTACAGACCCTCAACAAGTAGGATCCCTTATAACAAGGACCCAATAGCCCAAAACCCTTGCTCCCAATCGAGGGCGCTACTTGACCCTCAAGCAGACCCCCAGCCTGTGGTCCCCAATTACTCTGTGGTAAGGTTTAGGGCTTAGGGCTTAGGGCTTAGGGCTTAGGGCTTAGGGCTTAGGGCTTAGGGCTTAGGGCTTAGGGCTTAGGGCTTAGGGCTTAGGGCTTAGGGCTTAGGGCTTAGGGCTTAGGGCTTAGGGCTTAGGGCTTAGGGCTTAGGGCTTAGGGCTTAGGGCTTAGGGCTTAGGGCTTAGGGCTTAGGGCTTAGGGCTTAGCGTTTAGGGTTTAGGGTGTAGGGTGTAGGGTGTAGGGTTTAGGGTTTAGGGTTTAGGGTTTGAAGTTGGGGATTAGTAGGGTTTTTCGTACGGAGCTCTCTTTGCCATCTGGTGCGCCGCCCTCAGCAGCAGGAGTGGCTTTGCGTCGCACATGTCCCCCCGACAGAACTTTAGGGGTCGCAGCTCTAGCACACATGTTCGGCATGTGCGTGTGTGACATTTTTCTTCCGATGTTTTGAGCCTCAAAACAGTGGTAGATTTCTGACTGTTTCCTGAAAAAGGTGCGATAACAGCAAACAAAAGCCCGACCCTTCCACCAGGCCTGACCCCCCTCAGCCCGCTCGAACCCCAAACCCTAAACCCTAAACCCAAACCAACAATCCTCCGCGCCCCAGCTGGACGACGACAAGCCCCAGCACTGTTTGCGGCTATTTCGGCGTATGGAGGCTGGGGTTTAGGGCTTCAGGCCTTTAGGGTTTAGGGTTAGGGGGGGGTTCGGATTTAGGGTTTTAGGGTTTAAGGGGTTTAGGGGGGTCTATGGCGCTTTTTGGTTCAGAACCTTGAAAACCCAAACCTACACATTTCGCAACTTATCTGCGATGGCCTACCAAAAGGTCGGCGTGTTGATTAAGGCAGGATCTAGTGTGCAGCTGTTCGGCGCTGAACGCTTGGCTTTTGACGGAACTGCAAACAAGCGGCCTTCCGAAAAGCAGAAATTCATTTACCGCTTTAAGTAGTTGCTGTTGTTGTGTTCCCCCCCCGCCCCCACCCCCCCACCAACTACCAACTACCAAATGTGTCGCGCAATTGGGTGTTTGGGGCTTTGGGCTTCTTCAGCTGGTGGTACTGACCGGAACCCTAAACCCTAAACCCTAAACCCTAAACCCTAAACCCCAAACCCCAAACCCCAAACCCCAAAACCCGATAAGAACCCTAAGAGGTAGGGTTCAGGAAGTTCAGGGAAAACGCTGGCCGACGGAAGCCACAGGCAGCGGTGGCCACGCTGCCATGGAGTGAGGGAGGAGCCCCAAGATGCCGTGCTTCTGGTTTAGGGTTTAGGGTTTAGGGTTTAGGGTTTAGGGTTTAGGGCTTAGGGCTTAGGGCTTAGGGCTTAGGGCTTAGGGCTTAGGGCTTAGGGCTTAGGGTTTAGGGTTAGGGTTTATAGGGCTTAGGGCTTAGGGTTTTTGGCTTTCGGCTGCAGCTTTTGGAGTCCCCAAGGTGCGGTGCCTGTGTTTGAGAGGTGAAGCGGGGACTTGGGCATCTTGACAAGGCATGCGGGCGGAGCCTCAGAGGTTTTGTTGGTTTGATGTAGGGTGGGGAGGGTGGGTAGGGTGGGTACAGTGGGCAGGGTGGGTAGGGTGGGTGGCTCGGCAGGGCAGGGTGGGGCGGGGCGGGGTGGGCGGGGTGGGAGGAGCGCAGAGACTGGAACTTCCAGCTTGCGACGCGGTCGTGGCTGTCTAGGAAAGTAACACCGTAGGTTTCGCAAGCTGGGTATCAGCACGTTCTGATTAATTCTGGACCAGCCCAAGAGGTCGGGTTCAAGGGTATGAAGATAGCTGACCCACAAAGAGTTTGAAACGCTGAAATCCGAAGAGCGCAGACCCGCAGTGGCATTCTGGTGGCTTAAACTCGCAACGGCCCCCAAGACTCCTAAATCGCCAAGTGCTGCGCCGTGGGGAAGAAAAAGATGAAGAACCAAGCCTACCACGCAGGCCTCTTTTCCCTGAGGCCCTCTTACGCAAGCTACAGCCTCATGGTCGAAGGCCCCAAAAGCCCCTGAGACCCCCAAAGCAGCGCACCAAGCACCCTAAACCCTGAACCCTGAACCCTAAACCCTAAACCCTAAACCCTAAACCCTAAACCCTAAACCCGTGAAACCCCTGAAACCCCTGAAACCCCTTAGACCCCAGAGCAGGACAGCTGCTGCGTCCAAAGTTTGGCATGGCAGCTGCTCGGAGCCCAAGTTTTCGGAGTTTCGACGAGGTTTAGGGTTTAGGGTTTAGGGTTTAGGGTTTAGGGTTTAGGGCTGAGGGTTTAGGATTCAGGGTTTAGGGTTTAGGGTTTAGGGTGGGGTCGGAAAATAGTTACCAATAATTTGTATTCCCTCATGGTCCCTTTATGGTCATACGACAGGGACCCCCCAAACCCAGAGGGGTCGGAATAGTGACTGATAGCTGTTTTAGCTGTTTCCCTGGGAATATTTGCTGTTTCCTGGTAGTATGAGCTGTTTTCGTGGGAATATTAGCTTTTCGCTGTTTCCCTGTGAATATTAGCTGTTTCCTGGCAATTTTAGGTGTTTTTTTCTGGAAATATTTGTTGTTTCCTAGTATGATTAGCTGTTTCGCTGGCAACATTAGCTGCTTCCTGGTATTATTAGCTGCTTCCCTGGTATGACTAGCTGTTTCCCTTGGGAATATTAGCTGTTTCCCTGCGAATATTCGCTGTTTCCTGGTATGATTAGATGTTTCCATAAAGATGTTAGCTGTTTCTGGGAATATCTGGGAATATTGAATGTTTCCCTTTTCGTGGGAATATTAGCTGTTTCCTGGTATTATCAGCTGTTTTGCTGAAAATATTAGCTGTTTCCGGGTATTATTAGCTGTTTCCCTGGTATTATTAGCTGTTTCCCTGTTGATTTTAGCTGTTTCCTGGTATTATTAGCTGTTTCCATAGCAATTTTTGCTGTTTCCTGGAATTATTAGCTATATTAGCGTTTTCCTTGTTTTAGTAGCTGCTTAGCTGTCTCCCTCAAAAATTAGCTGGTTCCTGGTATTATTAGCTGTTTCCCTTGGAATATTAGCTGTTTTCCTCTTATTTCTAGCTGTTTTCCTGTATTAGCGGTTTCCTGCTGTTTCTGCTGTTTCCCTGGGAGTATTCGCTGCTTCCGGGTATTAGTAGCTGACTCCTGGTAGTATTAGCTGTTTTTGCGGGAAGATTAGCTGTTTCCTGAATTATTATCTGTTCCCGTGGGAAATGTAGCTGTTTCCTGGTATGGTTAGCTGTTTCCACGGGAATTTTCGCTCCCCTGCATTAAGCTGTTTACGGCGTGGGGCAGTGCAGGGGTTAGGGTTTCAGGGTTTCGAGGATGAGGGAGAAGATGCTCCACTAGTAGTGTCCTTGATGGGTTTTTTCCTGTCTAGGCTGTTTCAATATTCAGTCCTCACCTGTTTCTTACGGTTTGGTTCAACCCATGGTTTCGTGGCTGTACAGTTTTCAACGTGACACCAAGTGAATGGACTCTTTGAGTCGGCACAGATGAATAGTAGGGCTTCGGCTTTACAAGCCATGTGCACTCGCAGCCCAAAAATGTCCAACAAGGAACTGCTTTATTCTTACTGACCCAAACCACACTCAAGCCTACCCCAAACCACACTCAAGCCTACACTGAACCCTCAAAAAAACCATGAGGTCTACGACAAAGGTGGAAGTTATGCTCCGCACAGAGACAACGAACGTACTGGCCAAAGCCTTCGCCAGTGGGTCCGCCCCTCTGGCTACGAATTCGGGCTGTAAGGGTTTAGAGGGCTTATGGTTCAGGGCTGAGGGCTCAGGGCTTAGAGGGTTGGAGGGCCATAGGGCTTATAGGGGCTTAGAGGGGCTTAGAGGGGCTTATATAAGGGCTTCTGTAGGGGGTTTATTGGGGCTTTCAGGGGCTCATTGGGGCTCATGGGGCCTCAGGTCTTAAAACAGTTTAGGGTCTAGGGTTGAGTTTTTTTTTTTTGGTAGGGTTTAGGGTTTAGGGTTTAGGGTTTAAGGTTTAGGGTTTAGGGTTTAGGGTTTAGGGTTTAGGGTTTAAGGTTGCAGACCCAAACCCTCACTGAAGCTCTATCTTGGCCCGGCGGCCTGCTATGGCCCAGACTGCCTGTAGTACCTCGCTACGTTTCGGGGCCAGAGGTGCCTGAAACCACCAAAAACAGGGAGCCCTTTTCCCGGTTGGGAATTGACGAACACAGGGGACCCCCAAAATAGACCCCCAAGTAGTCGGATCCCCTTAGAATCCCCAAATAAGGTACACCGAATTTCGGAAACCCCCTAAACGCCAAACCCTAAACCCTAAACCCTAAACCCTAAACCCTAAGCCCTAAGCCCTAAACCCTAAACCCTAAACCCTAAACCCTAAACCCTAAACCCTAAACCATGGGGATCCCAGAGGGCGGAGAACTCTCTCGGGCCGGTGCGCAAGCAGAGCTGGCAAGTCAACCGCGCAGAGGCATGTAGTGCTGCAAAAAAGGGCTGAATCACCCCCAAAGTTCCCTTGTAACGACGACCGCCCTAAACCCCCTTTAGGGTTTAGGGTTTAGGGTTTAGGGTCTAGGGTCTAGGGTCTAGGGTCTAGTGTTTAGGCCCTGGACCCACCAATGAAGGACAGTATCAAGACGCTGTGCAGGGCACCTTGCACGCCAGCGCGAGGAGTAGCCCTGAGGAGCACGTAACATCCTGTTAAGATGATCTACACTAACCCAAGAATTTTCTGACTACTCCCAAATACCAATTCGAATGATGGGGGCCCCTACAGTAATGACGCCTGTGCGCGAGCAACCGAGGCACGCATGTGCCACCCTGAACTAAGCAATGCCCTGAATAACTAGTTTTTTGCGGAAAAGCTCCAAACCCTAAATCCAGCAAACCCTAAAACCCAAAACCCTAAAGACCCTATTTTAAAGACCCTAAGCCCAAAAAACCCTAGAAATCCTGCACCCCAAAAATGGCAGAACCATCCTCCCCCGGAGGCTCCAACCTGCGCAAAATCTCTCTCTGACCAGCTCTGGTGTTTCAGGTCAACTTTCGGGCTCTCACTGCGGTGATCTATGCGGCTCGCCTAGTTAGTGGCCTAAAGACAGGGCCTCGTCCCTCTTTATAGGGGTCCCTTCTGGAATGCGGCGTTTTGGGGTTGCAAAGGTTTACAGCCTGCAGTTGCTCAAGCCAGGTCAATCCTACAGGCTTCGGGTGCGCTGAGGACGCCCGATGGGATTGTCCGAAAGCCCTAAACTGCCCTAAACCCGAAACCCGAAACCCTGAGCCCTAACCCGGAACCGTTCAGGGTTTTAGGGGCCAAGGGCCAACCTAGTAGACCTGGTTATGTTCGTGGGCGTTCCGGTTTACAGTCGAGCTCTGTCGTTGACATGTTTGGGGCACTTGCTCTTCTTATGAGTAGGGTTTAGGGTTTGGGGTTTGGGGCTTAGGGTTTAGGGTTTAGGGTTTAGGGTTGAAGTTTCGGGGCGAACCGTGAACCTTGCAAGCAGCTTACAGGGTTTCTGCGTAATTCGTAGGTGGGAAAGTTATGTCGTTGCAGCACCTCCTCTTCATAGATATAAACACACGCACACCCACATACCTATACATATATATATATATATATGTACATGCATACATACAATTATGCAGTGAACACATGGGTAGTTATCTAAATTGGGGTTTGTGTTGGGTTTCGGGCCATTTGGTGCCATACAAAAAAACAAAAACACATATATACACACATTAAATATTTTTGTGTATGTATGTATTTGCTTGCTTCTTTTGATCTAACTTCCATGGGCCCCATACTGGTAAACCTTAGACCACCAGGGGTTGGGGTGACAAGTCCAAGATGTTTATGACAACGGCCTTCGGGTTTAGGGTTTAGGGTTTAGGGTTTTAGGGTTTAGGGGTTTAGGGTTTAGGGTGTTTAGTGTACCCTGAATGGTCAAACCCTAGACAGCTACCCACCACGTTGGGAGAAGTGCAAAAGGACGGCGGGGAGCTCCGCTGCCATCTTGGCGCGCGCCTTGATGACCTCTGCGGCGCCCGGCACGCCCAGCACACTGGTTTAGGGTTTAGGGTTTAGGGTTTAGGGTTTGGGGTTTAGGGTTTAGGGTTTAGGGTTGGGATGTTCCGCATTATACTAACAGTCCTCAATAGGGATTCTAATCGGGGGTAGGACGGACTGTTCGTATAAGGGGGAACATCTCAAGTTTTAAGTTTCGGGTGTATGGGAGTTGCTGGTTCCCCTCCAGAGCAACAGCCTGAAATCAAAATGCAAAGTGGGCTTTGTTTTCCGGATGCTTAAGGAGTGGTTCTTCATGGGTCTTCTATAGATACCCTACGTTTCACCCCAGCTTCCGCTAGCCAAATGAACACGCACGCTAACTAGTCAAGGACCTCCCCGAGCTTGATAATTCACAGGTATCTGAATATGATGTAAGGAAGATTCGTTGATTGAAAGGCAAGGGAGTCCCTGGGCAGGAGGGCTTTGAACCCATCAGAGTCTCGATATTTGTAATTAGGGGTGCGTTTTTTTTGCTCCGTGAGAGAACCCTGAACCCAAAACCGTCAACCCTAAACCCCAAACCGGAATGGCTGACCGAGTTTTGCTGAGATTTTAACTAGGTGGAGGCTGCAAGTCTTCAAGAGAAGTCGAGGTTTGGTCTATTGGGGGGGGGGGGGGGGGGGGGGGGGGGTGACCTTGTATTCACGCTTACACTTGCAATTGCACTTCTTTTTGCGGCTTATTTCTCCTGGTAACTAGAGGAGTAGACACGTAGATGTGCAGCCGAGATGATTGGCCGGATAGGCATAGCGGCGGAAGATGTGTAGAGAGTGCTGACCCCACACATCCACGTGCCTTATTGAGCCGAGGCCACAGCGACCAGCGTGCAGGCAGGATGCTGTCATTTGAGGGCTGATAGACTGGCTTGTCTGGAACAGAACTGACGGTTCTCGCCAAGGGTTTAGGGTTCAAGGTTTTACAATCCAAACTGACACCTCGAGCACATGAAGGACAGACCGTTTCCCTAAGTTTACACCTGTAAACCCAAAACCCTCAACCACTGAACCCAAAGTCTACACCCCCCCCCCCCATAGTAAGGTTGTTACAACTCCTATTCACCAAAGGTATCATCCATATTTATTCCAGGATACCGAGATCCTAGACCGCAAAACCTGAAGGCAGCATGGCATTCCGCATGTCGCCCCTCAACAGAGATCTACTATTTGTTTAAGAACCCACCCACCCCCAAAACATTCAGAATACTCTTCCTTATAAGGGCAATATGTGGGGGGATATTATGTTTTTTTCTTTTTGGGGGTTGTTCAGGAAAGAGTAGAGATCCAGGCCCTGAGTTCAAAGCTGTAGTCTCGGTTGCTTCTCGGCTCGGCCATGTTCTGTAGCTTGGGACCACGGTGCTTTGGGACAGGTTGATGCGGCTGGAGTTAGCTCAAGTGAAATTGAAACCTGGAGCTTTTGGAAGCACGGCATGGCAACAAGGGCTCAGGGGTCCAGCAAAAACCCACACCGAAGCCTCAGTATTTAGGGTTTGTACACGGAGATACTCCCAGCATCGGGTTGCCGACACGTGTAGGGGAGACAGTGTTGGCCATGTCCCGAGTCGCTTCGTCAGTTCCTACCTCCTCCTCCGGCGATGATGAGAGATGCTATTTCTGTGGCCATGAGCCTGCGAGGGAGTACTTCTTCTGCTGCGGAGCAAGGGTTTTCACTTGCGGATGCAGACTGCGTACGACCTGCCCAACATGCCGGCGCCAGCTGACAGAGCTACATAGAGATGACGGATCTTGGGAGCAGCGGGAGCATGTCATCGAGGAAGCAGGAGCCACTGCAGAAGAGCTCGGAGTCGAAGAGGATGCAGTCACCATCGAGGAGCGGGTGGCCGCCGTCGAGTTGGAGGTGGCCCGCCTTCAGGCAATGCCGCGACAGGAACCGATGCCTGAGCCCGAGGCAACGCCGATGGAGCCAAGACCACGGATCCAGATGCCTTGGCAGACGCAGTGGACACCGCCACCGGAAGGACGGCCCCGGTACCCAATCTTCCGCAGACAGTTGGACAACGGTTGGATCCGGTACGACTTCCACGAGGAGGACGAGCGACGAATCAAGAGCAGAAGCGGCCGCACGCCACCTGGAGGATGCCGTGATCTTCACCAGAGCGGCCGAACAAACTGGAAAAGCCTACCGCCATGCGAGGCCATCCGCCCGGATGATTCGTGCTATTTCCTCGTTCACGACGAGAAGAAACTGCTTTTCTACGCATCTCGCAAGCCGGTTCGAGTCCGGCTTGCCAAGATCGTATTGGGCGTCTGGTGGGATGTGGAGTGGAGTTGCGTGTGTTCCGACTCGGCATCGGAAGAAGCTTCTGCATGGACATCCACCAAGACGAGCCTCTGATGTGATTCCATGTGCTTGCTGTAACTAAAACCCCCCCACATAAAAAAAGAACCTAGTCACTGGGCTAATCACTTTTAGGCCGTTGCACCTACATCAATCTGGAGCTTGCAACTTTTCGGGCCTCTAGAGAGAAGACATCGTTTGGACGGGCTAACATGCACAAAACATTCGCATGTCGACCGGCAGTTTTTAATTTCGTCTCGAGATGTCGCAAGGAGATCTGAGTCCTTCAAAAACCTCAAGGAGATCTAGGTCCCAATAAACAGCCGAAACCCTAAGAAACACCCAAAACAGCCCGAACCCTGAACCCTAAAACCCGAAAACCCTCAACCCTAAACCCTAAACCGATCCCCAGAGTCCCCCTAAGCTTCCCTAGTAAAATCTCCGTGCGCTGCAGCTTCTGAGTTGAACAAAGCTCACGAGGAGTCTGCGCAGCCAAAATAAAAAAAATTGGCGATCTTGGGGTTTGGGGTTTGGGGTTTAGGGTTTGGGGTTTAGGGTTTAGGGTTCAGGGCATTGTAAGGGTTTGGGAATATGAGGCACATCATTCCCGCAACTTCCCATTCAGAACTGGGTCCTGTAAAGTGCCGTAGGCATGAGAAGGCCCTGGATTTCCCAAACGAACTTGGCCTCGAAACCCTGTAGCCTTTTCGCTCGTTAAACGCCAGACCCGCATGTGCGTAGAGCCTTTGGGACTCTAAACCCTGAACCCTAAACCCAAAACCCTGAACCCTAAACCCGAAACCCTAAACCCTAAACCCTAAACCCTGAAGTTTGAGGCTTGCAAGTTTAAACCATTCTTGAAACTGGCCCCGTGGCCCGATATAGCCTTCAAAGACTAGACCCGAACTCCGTGAACCGACCCTAAACACCCTGAACCGACCCTAAACGCCCTGAACCCACAAGACCCTAAACGCCCTGAGCCCCTAAGACCCTAAACGCCTTGAACCCCGAAGACCATAAACGCCCTGAACCCCAAACCCTAAGCACCCTGAACCCTTAATCCTAACCCAAAACCTAAACCCCTAAACCCCAAATCCTAGACCATCCTAGACCCCAAGCCCTAAACTCTAAACACCCTAAACCCCAACTCCTGAACCCCTGAGACCCTAAACCCCTAAGCTTCCGCCAGGACATCTCACCGCAGGGAGGCCTGGCGGTGCTCTTCCCTGCACGGCGCGTGCTCCACGAGGTGGCCCCTTTTTTTGGAGGTTTTATGGGGGTGTTTAGGGGTTTAGGGGTTTAGGGGTTTGGGGTTTAGGGTGCTTGGGGTTTGGGGTTTGGGGTTTAGGGGTTTGCGGTTCAGGGGTTTGGGGTTTGAGGGTTTGGGGTTTAGGGTTCGGGGTTTAGGGGTTTGTGGCTCAGGGGGTTGGGGTTTAGGGTTTTGGGGTTTGGGTTGCTTTCGGGTTTCGGGGGCGGAGGGCTTTAGGGGCTTGACGTTTGAGTTTAGTTTGGCACCCAGTTGGGGCGTTCCTTCTATCAGGATTATTCTATCTTGGGGTATAGAAGAGGTACCCCCACCCTTTCTTTTGGAAATTTCCCGATTTGGGGAGGCACAGCTGGCCCGAAATAACCCTCGAGATCTGCCTCCGTAAAAAAAAAAAGTAGCGGCAAAGGTGCTACCGAGTTTCAGGCAGCGCTACGCTCTTACGCCGCGGGCTTAGGCAAAGACATCGGGCCAGCTTTCTAGATGAGGGGCGTTCGCGCTCAGAGTTTAGGATTTAAGGGTTTAGGGTTTAGGGTTTAGGGATGGAGGGTTTCAGGATGTTTAGGGTTTAGGGTTGAGGTGTCCGAGGCTTAGGGTTTATTGAAGGGCGCGCCCATCATAGCGGGGGTATATTTCCCAAAATCTGCGTTCAGCTCTAGGCTCGTGCAAGACGCTTTGCCGTTGGCCTTTGCATAAACGGCACATGATTACATTTCCAATCAGCTCACCTTACATCAGCTATATTGGGAGGGTGACAAGTGCCAGCAGCTGGGAACTTAAGAAGATATGTAAGGCTTTGGGGCTTTTAGGTCTTCAGGGATTAGGCTTTGGGGCAAGGTTTTGCGGCTTCATTTGAGAATTGAAAGGTCTCGGGCCTTAGTGAAAAGCGGTTGCACTAGATTTGACGGCCGTCTTGCTAAACCCTAGACCCTGAACCCTGCAATTTTGAGGCTCTGGTTCGTGGCGCCCGGTGCAGGCCTTGACTGAGCGGTCGCAAGATGTACCAAGAATCCGCGCTGGGGAGTTTTCGGGTTAGGGTTTAGGGGCAAGGGTTTAACGCTTACAGGGTTTGCGATTGGGTTGAGTGTTACAGGGCGCTCTTTATAAGGGTTTAGGATTCAGGGGTGCTAGTCTGTGAGGCTTACCCTAAGTTGCTGTCTGGAGCTGTAGTTGCGGAGCTGAGTTAAGACGGCGGAGAATCTGCCGTCTTCTCGTGCGCAGTTCAAAAGTCTTCGGCGCGAGGCAGCGCTAGGGATGGTTATTATTCTCAACTTTGTCAAGCCTGAGATTTTGCAGAACTCCAAGCACCCCTCAGACCCTTCATACCCTAAACCCTAAACCCTAAATCCTAAACCCTGAACCCGGAACCCTGAACCCTGAACCCGAACGCACTTCACCCTGAACCCCAAAGCCGCACTGCAGACCCCAAACCAAGATCTCTGTGACATTTAGTACTACTTGAGGGCAGCAAGAAAAGGGAGGGTTCAGGTCTTAGGTTGCAGGGTTTAGGGTTTGGGGCCAAAAGGAAGGGGTTTAGGGTTTAGGGTTTAGGGTTTAGGGTTTAGGGTTTAGGGTTTAGGGTTTAGGGTTTAGGGTTTAGGGTTTAGGGTTTAGGGTTTAGGGTTTAGGGTTTAGGGTTTAGGGCCAAAAAGAAGTTCGAGCCAACTGTGACTATTGTTGACCTTACGTATACCTAGAAGCCAGGAAGGGATTGATTGATGTTAGAGCGGCTTAGTTTAGAGCTAGGCGGGAGGGGAAGGGGGGTGACGGGTTTAGGGTTTAAGGTTTAGGGTTTAGGGTTTAGGGTTTAGGGGGGCTCTGGTGGTCGTCTCAACTTGAGACTCAGCATGGTTCGCCTCTTCTCAGCAGGGGTCCAAAGAAAGGACGGCGTATTCACTTCGAGCAGGGCAGCTGAACAGGATAGAAGAAAAGCAGAGAGAGTCTGTGATGAAAGCATCTTCCGTTTTCGATCTCGCTGGCCTTCGGAGCCATGGCGACCCGCAGGCTCTTGCTTGCAATGGTGCTATGCTGGCCTTGCCGTGGAGTCCACGTGTTCCGAACCAAGGCGGAGCTCAGAACAGCCCTGGAGGAGAGAGATGCGGCCACGGCTCAGCCCCGAAAGGACCTGCCAAGCGACTTCGGGCCAGCGGCCACATGGGATGTCTCAGAGATCACAGACATGGGCGCCATGCTCCAGAATTTGGTTCATTTCGACGAGGACATTAGCAGATGGAACGTGACCTCTGTCACGAACATGAGCCACATGTTTGCTGGCACCGGGGCATTTGACCAGCCGATCGAATCCTGGGACACATCGTCCGTCACAGACATGAGCGCTATGTTTTCTGGTGCCAACACATTCAACCAGCCAATTGGCTCTTGGGACACCTCCTCCGTCACAAACATGCGTTTGATGTTCGCAGGCTCGGTGTTCAACCAGCCGATTGGCTCTTGGGACACTTCATCTGTCACAAACATGGAGATGATGTTTGGTTATTCGCCCTTCAATCAGCCCATCGGCTCTTGGGACACTTCATCCGTCACAACCATGTCCGGCATGTTCTCAAGCGCCACGGGCTTTAACCAACCCATTGGCACCTGGAACACGTCGTCGGTCTCCAACATGTCTTTCATGTTCTTCATGGCCTCTCTGTTCAATCAGCCGGTTGGTGCCTGGAACACAGCATCTGTCACGGTCATGGACTGGATGTTCAGCCAGGCCAGCGCTTTCAATCGGCCGGTTGTCGCCTGGAACACGTCAGCAGTAATCAGCGTGGACATGATGTTCTTCAAGGCCTCTGCATTCAATCAGCCGATTGGCGACTGGGACATGTCGTCTGTTACGAGCGCCAAGTGGATGTTAGCTGGGGCCTCCTCATTCAATCAGCCAGTGGGTGAATGGGATATGTCAGCGGTAGCTGACGTCAGCGATTTGTTTGCAGGAGCCGCTGCGTTCAACCAGCCGATTGGCTCTTGGAATCTGACTAGGGCCAGGGCCGAAGGCTCATTGGATAAATTGGTCTCTAGTCTCTCATCCTCGGGTCTCTCGCCCTGCACCAAGTTGGCGACCCGGCGCGGGTGGGGCAAGCTCGTCACAAACACCACCTGGGAGGAAGCAGCATGCAGCAGCTGCCCATGTCCAAACGCAGAGGTCTGCATGGTGGATACCTGTGCACCGGTGAACAGCGGCTTCATCGATCTGGGCCGAGCCTACTGGGCACGCAGCCCCCACGAGGTTTCCACCCCAGAAGTTGGATTCCGCGATTGTTCCCAGGCTTGCCGAAAGCAGGTGGCATGCACGGGCTTTCTACTGCTTGCCAACAAGAGCTGCGTGCTTGGATATTCCAACGAGCAGCCGGAGAAGCGGCCGTCGGCCACAGGCACGGAATCATGTCAGGTTGATTTTAGTTTTGAAGTTAAGCCTTCAGGTTTGGGAAGATGTCTGATTTGCACGTGCTTACTCGTGACTGTATACCCTGACTGGATTGCGTGGTAGCCCGGCGTTTGCGAGTTCTGCTTATAGGCAATGCATACCGCGCAGTCTCCAACGCAGCGCCCTGAACCACCTCCTGGGCCGAGGCGATCCTGCTGCATTCTGGAAGCATACCTGCGCCACTTTCCACCATTGCCCCGCCGGTCGCAAGCGGCTTTCATCCCGCGAAGCTCGCGTAAGTGAGGCGCTTTGCTGTTCTTGCTCCTTGGGGCAGTACAAGGACGGGGTGGGCCCTGTTCCAAGTTACATGTAGGGTTCATTGAACATAGTGCTGTATATAGTCAACCCTGCGATACTGGGGGGTCCACCTAAGGGACCCCCACTAGGTTTGGATTCTTGTCCACATGTTCGGCCTGGCATGCCTTGTCGTGTGCCGTTTAGACGTTCTAGATCCGGCATGGGCCCTGAGGATAGTCGGAGACCTGAAAGGCCCACTTCCGGTAGTTTTCTATTTTGTTGCAGTCTGCGTCGCAGAACCTGTCAGCAGCTCCGTCGCTGCAGTGCTTGCAATGCCTGGCGGGAGCAGTTCCTTCCGAGAATGGGACTGCCTGCGACGCCTGCCCTGCGGGCCGCTACTCGCGGCCGGGGTTCTCGCGCTGTTCTCCCTGTGGGCCTGGCTCCATTCCCACGAAGGATCGGGGCACCTGCAACTCGGTTATGGCTTGAATCCTCGGAGACAGCTGCAACATCTAGGTTGCTGATAGGCTGTACCCCAGACTACAGTCGAGGTGAGCGGTGCCCAGCGGGCATGTTCTCGGTCGGTGGTGTGGACCAATGCCAGGAATGCAATTTTCCCTTCCTGATCATGGACGATGCCTGCGCATGGTGGCCCCTGCCGCTCATGGGGGTCATGGTTGCCGCGCTGTTGCTGCTGGCAAGCTTCCTGGGCTCCTGGCTTCGGAGGCGCCGTCTCCGAAAGCAGGCGCAGCTGAAGTCGGACGTTGCCGCCCGGTACAGCATGCTCTACCGGGATCTGTGGGATGAGTTGGAGGACGTCGTCGCGAAGCACACCTTAGACCTTAAGAGGCTCGGTGTGAACCAAGAGGAGGTTGACAGAAGGGTCGTGGACATGAGGGCACAGCAGAGCTCACGCGCCGGCGTGAGCATGAGATACTTGCTCTCATCGGAGTTCGACATGCTGGCCCAGACCCGGACCTCCACGATGGATCCATCCTTTGAGGAGATGAAGACATCCTTCTGGCTACCTGGTACATGTTGGGCATGGCTACGGCGTTTGGAGCTGCGGTTGACGTCCTTGCGTGGGACCCAATGAACCCTAAAATTGGGGTCATATACCCTACACCTACTATGCCCTGTAGAGGTAAATGGACCCTAAACCCTTTTGGGGTTGATTTAGACGCCCGAGGTCTAGGTAACAGATCTTCGCCTGAGGTTCAGCGAGGATCCCATTGGGAAGCAGGTACCTTGCCCACGTGACGGGAAGCCCGGCTGCGCGCTGGTGGACTGGATCCCCCGCAAGGATCGGCGGCAGCACTTAAACACTGATTGGGCGGGGTAGTTTTCTAAGTTAGGGCCCCTTGTTGGGCCCCCTTTATGTTATCGCAACTACTACCGCATATAGGGTACCGTAAAAATGCGCCCCAGATTTGCAGAACTACCCAAATCCCCTACACCTACTAAGCTCCAAACCCTCAACTTGCGGTGGTCTGGTGAGGCGGGTGCCCCAAACCCTAAACCCTAAACCCTAAACCCTAAGCCCTAAACCCTAAACCCTAAACCCCAAACCCCAAACTTGCAAGGATCGGCGAGAGCAGACTCACTTCATGTCCTGGGTGTGGCGATACCGCCTGAGCCAAGTCCACAGCGCGTTGCGGGTGTGGGCTCAGGGGACACCCTCCATGGCGCTTCACGAGGTCTTCTTCTTCATGTGTTTTTTTGTGAACAATCAGTTTAGGGCTTCTGGACGAGTTTGAAGAGATTCTTTCCTTTGTTGGGATGCATACTACACCTTGTAGGCTATATAGCTTGACAAAAAGGCTTAAACAAATCTGTAATAGTAAGCTGTGTTAAAGCAACGATTACATTTTTGAATCTTCTTAATTTCCATATCTAATATGAACTTGTGTTATAAATTATTCTTCATTGTTTTAAGCAGCCCCCAGTTCCTCACGAGGTTCTCGTGGACCAGACCCAGTCGGCCAGCAGCGACCTCGGCGCGGTCTTTCGCGTGAACCTCCTCCGCTGCGGACGGATGGTTGCCATCTTGGACACCTGGAAGGACGGGTTTAGGGTTTAGGGTCTAGGGTTTAGAGTTTAGGGTTTAGGGTTTAGGGTTTAGGGTCTGCAGTTTCGGGTTTGGGGTTCGGGGGTTTGTGAGTTATGCTTGAGGGTTGAGGGTGTAGAGCTGGAAATCACAGGGGCTAGGGTTAGACTTGAGAAGAACCCACATGTCTTTCCGCTCTGAGAGGGGGAGGCGGACACAAAGTGCAGTGGGACTAGAGCCGCCAGAGGCTTGAGCCTGTTTTTTTGTCATCACTGCTTTTTGCGCCCCCTAGACTCCAAGCCTTTAAATATCTTCAGGAGCCCCTCTACCTGCGGCGGGTTTGGACAATCTACGAGCAGTTCGTGGCCTCTACCATGCAGGTTCCGACGAGCTTTGTGATGCCAGAGGCCTGCACCATCTCGCTGCCAGGCTGGTATCATGTGTGTGTGTGTGTGCGCGTCAAAGTTAGACACAAATCTTGACCCCAAGCAGTACGGCGCTATTGAAAAAGGACCAGCAACAAGACCCCAGTTCAAACCTACCCGTGGATACAAGACTTGAGGGGGGTCAAGCGCGAAACAACAGTAACAGCTAAACACGGTCTGAAGCAAAGGATAGTGTCCAAGGAAGAGAGGGGCTGGAGGGCTCTTTGGTCGTGCGATCTCTTCCGCAGCCATCGAATCAACCCAACCTGAATAATAACAACAGTCCAATGAATTTCAACCGTAGTGACAGTAAGATTCACAGTGGAAACAAGAATATGTAAGCCATAGCCAATTAATCGTAGCAGTGACAAATCTGAACTTCCAGTCGAGGTTGCGTGAGGAGATTGCAACAGGCCAGGACGGCATTCGCCGCATAACAGAGGCAGTCAGTCGAGTGGATTCGGCGCCTTGCCTTAAGCCACCATGTCAATAGCAATTTTTCACTTTTGTCGGAGCCAAAAAGTAGGCTGCCGCCTTTTCAGGCTGGGTCCTTTTACTAGTAAGTAGGTGAAGGTAGGGCAAGCGGCCAGCTTGCGCCACCAGAGCCCTATGACCCCATCATCAACCCTGCAGAGGGCTGTTTTAAGTGCTTACCCTAAACCCTAAACCCTAAACCCTAAACCCTAAACCCTGGTAGAAGCCCCTACTGACAAAGGAGAAGGCCGAGGCGACGAAGTGGGAGGACGAGTACAATGTAAAGCAGGAGATACAGCGCGGCGTCGGCTTCAGTCACGTCGCTTGAGGTAGATCTGGAGAGGGCGGGAGAGACAAGGATTGGCTTGAGCTGGTAGATTTGTTTCTTTGAACTTGTTTGTGTGCTATTCATTTGCCATGACTTTTGTTGGAAGTGACCTGTACGATTGGACTGTGACGTGATGTGATCTGATTTGATCTTATCTTGATGTGACTCAATGACTGCGGTTGCTTGATTGATCGATTGGTTGGAGGTTGGTTGTGGATGGACGGATCGAATGTGTTTCCCACGGCTTTGATTCGTGTACTTGCGCGTGCTTGTGTGTTCTTCTGGTTCTTCTCGTCTTAGTCCTCCTCGTCCTTGTCGCCTCGGTAAGGTTCTTCTTTCTAGGAATGCGACCCTGGACCCCGCAATGAAGCCCTTCGGAACGCAGCTTTCATTTCTGCGTGTGAATTGTTTTTGCAAGGTCGACAAGCACGTGACGGGTGCCATGGTTCGGTGGATCGGATCCGCGATGCAGACACAGTTTCAGCAGCTCGTAGATGAAGCCCGTGATCAGCGCACCATCAGTTGATCCTGACGCGCTGCCTTGATAGTGCAGGTAGAGAAATGCATGTGTTAAGGAGGCTTGCTTCTCGATCAGTGAGTCGCATTTAGTCTTCAGTCCTTTGCGGCACAAGAGTTGCCTCAAGGACAAGTGCTTCGGGTGGGCTTAGAGGAAAAGGGCTCCGGAGACATGATCTATGTTGACCGCATGAGCCCCAGGACTTTTGTGCGGCGTGCAACCCTTAGGTACAACGTGATTGGCTCCTTTGTGGATGCGGCTGCATATTCCTGCTATGTTTGGCTTATTCGGAGTTGGTGCACTCTACGCCGCACGGGATGGTATGTCTCCGAGAGCATACGGATGTGACAGATAGCAGCTTGTTCCACTTGTCTTGAACAGGATGTACCTTTCTCGTCCCATTTCTCCTCTTTCTGAAACCCATCGAATGTCAATAGAAGGCGTGCCGGCCAGACCGCCCCCAAATCAGACCCCATTGAGCCTAGAGTGGGAGTTGGGTTACTATCTCGCATGATGTCGTGAAAGTACATTGACCCCCTGGAGCAGAGTCCTTTCGTTGCTAGGGCAGTAGACGTGACAAGTCTTATTCGTTGCCTATAGCCAAACATGGTGCTGGGTCCGTGAGGGTTGCGAAAGGGGTCCTTCGATGGGGGGAAACCTCCTGACCAACCACTGGGCCAACCACCAGGCTTGCGAGGATTTAGCTTCCCGTTGGTTGGTAGGGAGTGGGGGAATGAGGTACCCTATATAATCCCTTAAAGGGTATATATAGGGCCCTCATTCCCTGATTCCCTGCTAACCAACAGTAAGCTAAGTTGTTGGTTGCGGCTGTTGAAATACCGAAGAGCGAAGTTTGTGGCTCACTTGGCCTCAATGTTAGTAGCGATTGGGGCTCTGAAGAAGTCTGGAGTACGGCTACGGGTTTACTTGTCCGAGGTTCATGTGTAGTTCTCAGTAGACTGGTAAGTATGGTAACAACTTATGTAGCCCAAGCAAGCTTTTGGGTTTCTTGCGGCCTGCGGTTATCGACTGGGTCTTAGGTTGGTCCCTTGCTGCTACAAGCCAAGGCTCCATTTGCAGAGAGGGAACTAAGACTGGACCCCGCCAATCGCCCAAGCATGGCGCCATCGCCACCAAAGCGGATCCGGCGCAAGCGTGCTGGGGAGAGCCTCATCCGAATTGATGCGGGATGAGGTTCGTGCGCGCATGCGCTTTTAAAAGGAAAGGGGTTCGGAAAAGGGAAGGTGTTCGGGGTGCCCTTGGTTAAGGTGAGGCTCTCTTCTTATGAACACACTCCGGTTCAGGTCTGTTGGTGGTGCCACCAATCGTTTCGCAAGAGCTATAGTATATGTACCAGTAAATCAGACACAGGCATGTTCCCGCAGCCGCAGCCAGAGCAACACGTCTCGTTGTCTTCACATGCCACGTGTTCTAAATACCCTAGAACCCCGAAACCCTAGGCCATCCTTGCAGGGATGCTTCATTTGCTTTGTTTGTTTATGAGGTATATATAGAAAAATCATATATATATATATATATGTGTATACACATACATACAAGTATGTACCTAGCTTTTACGGGAGTCCTCCAAGAGGGGTTTTAAGTTTCGGGCTTCAGGGCTGGAAGATGTACCAGTTTTTGCGGAATCGTCAGCTACTGTCCGGCTCAAGAGACCTTCCATGTGCTGGGCAGTGAAGTAAGGCTTCTGCCTCAGCCCTGCAAACCCTGAATAATCCCCCAACCGTGTCGACTGCGCCCTTGAGGGGTTTCCGAACTTCGTTTGCAACCATCCAGTTGCACAGAAAACCCTCAAGGCCCTCTCAATCCTACGACGGGATTTGAGTTGAGGGCGTTTTGTGTCGGGCATTCTTAGCAACAGACCCTGCACACCAAGGCTTTGCACACTTTGGGACTACCCCGCATTGCTCCGGTCGTCTGGCCAAGCATACTTCGGCGGGACTCCCCGTAGAATGGTGAATTGGGTTCCGGTGTGGCTCCAAAGCCCCGCGCTCTAAGCCCTATGGCCTTGAGCCACTAGACGCCTCTTTTTCGGGAATTCTTAAACTAGAGGTTAGAGGTTTAGGGTTTGGGGTACGGGGAAGGAGTATAGAGGGTCCGAACATGTGCCTTTTCCATGAGTTTTCGGTCTTAAACTCCAAGTCGACGGTTTTTCTCTCTCACTTTCAAGATGCCATACAGTGTACAGCCGATGAGCTTCTTAGAATAGTTGCTCCAAGTGAGTAGGGAAAAAGGCGCAATAGCTTTCTTCATGACTTCGGTTCACACAAATCTAGGGCGCGAAACGAATCGAGGAAGCTCCCCCGCCAATCTAGGTTGTTGGTTGTAGATTTCACACACTCGCGTCTTCTCCTTGCGTCCTTGCATGACAAGCAACCCTAAACCCTAGAACCTAAACCCTAAACCCTAAACCCGCCAGGCCCGCACAGCTTTGTGCCCAAGCCCGGTCTGCTCCACACAACCATTCCAGCGGCCGAAACCCTCACCCCGAACCTGTCGAAGAGCTTTTGAACACACCCCCACGTCCAAAAATTCCAGAACACGAACACTGAACCCTACATCCCTGAGTTTAGGGTTTCGGGTTTACATGGCTTTGGGCCCTGAATTCCGAAGAGTGGCTCCTCCTGAGGCTCCTCGATTCGCTTGACATCAAGCGGACACACGCGGAGCCGCTACTCCGGTCGCTTGCAGCCAAGGCCCGCGCGGTTCTGGGTTTAGGGTTGAGGGTTGAGGGTTTAGGGTTTAGGGGTTAGGGGTTAGGGTCCTAAATTAATTCCAAACCCCTAAAGCCCTGAAGATGCGCGTCGTTGGGCGATAGGAAGCTGCTCCTTCCAGGCAAGGACTCCGGGCCATTTTTTGGCAGAGCATCGATCATGACCTGTAAGACCCGCCCTAAACCCTAAACCCGAATAGCCTCAACCCTAAACCCGAAACCCGAAACCCTAAACCCTACACCCTAAACCCTAAACCCTAAACCCTAAACCCTAAACTCAGGGCCTAGGCCGCCCCCCTACGTTGGGGGGCGGCGCTTAAGCCCTTTGACCTCGAGAGCACAAACCGACCAGGTCGCTCGCCCGCCTCCCACAGCATGGGGGTCGGCCCATGATGGGCCCGGTACCGGAACACGTTCTCCTCAAAACCAGTACTGGTCCCAGTAATTACTCTAAACCCCTGATCCTGGCCCCCCTGGCCTTGACCCCTGGCCCCCCAGCCCCCCGTGCCCCCCCCCTGACCCCCACCCTGCCCCTCTCCGTGATGCCTCGCCCGCCTGACCCCCTCCTGATTCCGCCGCCCCTACTCCCTGTTTGTGCCCACCCGGCCCCCTGGCCCCCTGACCCTGCCCTACTGGCCCCGCTTCGGGGCCTGCATCTTACCTTCGAGACCTTGCTGGCACCCTTGACTCTCGGATTCAACCAACATCAAAGTTTTGAAGAGTGGACTGTCGTCTGAGTTTAGGCCTAAACCCGAAAAGGAATAGGTTTGGGTGGCTTTGCCGCCTTGGACGGCGTGGGGTGGGAGAAAAGTGTTTAGATGGCCCTCCACAATCGGGCCAAAGCTGCGCTTCAGCACCTCACGAAGCTTTCGAGCTTGTTCCGAAACCTAACCTTCACAGCATCTACGCCCTATCACAGCAAACCCTAAACCCTAAACCCTAAACCCTAAACCCTAAACCCTAAACCCGCAATCTCCCTAGACGTCTTTGCCAGAGACCTTTCAGCCATGTGGAGCTCAATGGATACCCTAAACCGTAAACCCTAAACCCTACACCCCCTAAGTGCCCAGACTCTGAGGGGCCGGAAATCAGCATCAAAGAGCATCAGGGGACCCAAAGGAGGACCAGGATGTAGTGACCTTTTGGGTTTTGGGGGGGGGGCTCAGGGCTTAGGGCTTAGGGTTTCGGGTTGGGTTTCGGATTTAGGGCTTTAAGGGTTTAGGGTTTAGGGTTTTAGGGTTGTAGGGTTTAGGGTTTCGGGTTTTCAGGAAAAGGGTTGAGGCCCCCACATGGAAGCCGCACCTATGCAGGTGGTCCAGGCCCCGGATGGCGAGACCTGGAGCGACCTCGGGGTGTCGGCCGCTTGCCCGCGAACGGTGTGCTAACCCTAAACCCTAAACCCTAAACCCTAAACCCTAAACCCTAAACCCTAAACCCTAAACCCTAAACCCTAAACCCTAAACCCTAAACCCTAAACCCTAAACCCTAAACCCTAAACCCTTTTTTTGCGCAGAATTATTGGCTACAGGTTGGGATGCTGCCCCCTATACTAACAGTCCTAAATGGAGGTTATAGTAGTGCGTACTCGAATCCCTACTTAAGGACTGCTTTGTAGAAGGGGGGAGCATCCCAACTTATGGGCTTTGTAGGGGGATGAGGGGCTTTACCCAGCTGGTTTTACGAGCCATTGGAATGTGGGACTTGCAGATTTGTTTGCTGTGTGAGGATGTTGTTGGAAGGTGTTAAGTTTTGGTTTTGTCGTGGTGCAAGCCATATGGTTCACGGACACATGTGTCGAGTTTTTTGCCTGACAACGAGTCGAATATCGCCAGGAAAGGGCAAGCCGAGCGAGTCCGTCCAGGGTCAGTTGGGTTTTTGTAGTCCGGTTCCTATATTCCAGTTGCGCAGCGTTGCAGATTCCTCCACAAGGTCATTCGCCCAGGCGTTGTTGATAAATTTCCGGGCCCTTCAGCGCGAATTTCTCCGGTCTCTTCCTCCAGCTTCTACCTACCCCTCCAGCTTACCCGAAAGTCTACAACGTCGAGCAAGAGAAACATGAATCCTCCCAACTTCAACCGCCCTTAAAACCACCCCGGCCACATTGGTTGCTTAGAGTCAACTTGCGTGAGAAAATATGCTGGTAATTTGGGATGTTCCCCCTCATATTAACAGTCCTTAGTAGAGATTATAGTACCCCCTATGATAATCCCGATTATGGACTGTTCGTACAAGGGGGAACATCCCAACCCTAAACCCTAAACACCTAAACCCGAAACCCTAAACCCTACTTATACATATATACATATATACATATACATATCTATATATATATATAGATAGGATCCCGCCCCCCACCCATCCAAATGTTCGTATTTTGATTTCGGAACTATTGAATCGCCGAGGAGCAGACACTCGTCGATCTGGGCCTTCCCAGGAGGGCCGGCAAGGTCTTAGACGGCCGCTCGCCCAAGGGTTTTTTGCGAGTAAGCGCTTCGGGTTTAGGGTTTGGGGTTTAGGGTCTAGGGTTTAGGATTTAGGGTTTAGGGTCAATTCGTAGGTTTAGGGTTTAGGGCTTAGCTTTAGGTTGGATTCGTAGGGCTTTCAGGCTGCAAGGATTTTAGAACCCTGCGCGGGACGCAGCTTCTCGAAGACGGGTTCACGAAGTCCGCGGCCACTGGGCCCCCAAACCGACCCTGACTTCCCCAAATTCCCTTAAGTTGCGAGCTTTCTGTGGGTTCTGCAGCCCGCCCTGCAGCCCCAAGGAAGTATGCCTTTCGGGAACAAGCTGGCCACCGCTGTGACGTCTGCGGACGGCTCCACGACGACGCGTGGCCTCAGATTCACTTGGTAGCCCTGTGGTATCCTTCTCCCTTTTCTCCCTTTTTTTGGGTTCAAGGTTCCCTTGTAAAGTTACCCCAACCCCCAAAAAGGGTGCCCTTATTTCAACATGGTTGCTGGGATACCAGGTTCAGGTTCAGGCCTGTGGGGTTTCCGGCCTGTGGTGGTGACGGAGGCTAGAAGTAGGATAGCTGCTGCTGCAGCTTAGTTAGAAGCTTTAACATCGTTCTAATTCCTTCGCTTCAGTTGTTAAAACATTTGAGTAACAATCTGTTTTGTTGTGTTTGTGTTTGAGCGGCGCTGGCTAGTGACTTTGAAGATGCACAAGTGTCCTAGATCAGGAAGATGGTCTTCGAGCTGCACGACGGTCACAAGGCCACGGCGACGTCGCGGAGCGCTGTTGCTAATCAGTAAGGAGGGCAAACCCTAAACCCTAAACCCTAAACCCTAAACCCTGAACCCCAAAGCAGAACTCTCTTAAAAGGCATCCTGAGGCCTTCCACCAACCGAGTCGACACCCAAATGCGGTCAGAGTCAGTGCCTCCCTAGACTTGCCAAGGTTCACACGGGCACTTGGAGGTTCATGGGTACTTGTAAAAAAAAGTACAGGGTTCTCAGTGCCCTAAACAAGGTTGTAGCCATAGTTATCATGCTTCTAGGGCAGATCATGTACTTCTCTGAACCCCGAGACGACAGGGTTTAGAATTTAGGGTTAGGGTCTCAAGGTTCAGGTTTAGGGTTGGGTGTTCAGTTGCAAGGTTTTAGTGCTGATAGGGACACAGTTGAGGCCAAAACCGTAAAGCTCCGAACCCTAAATCACCTTGACCACAACAAACATCTTAACTCCTGAGCGCCAAAACACATCTCATCCTCAAGTTTTTCAGTTTCTGTGTCTTGCACCTAAACCCTACAACCTACACCCCAAGCCCCAACTTGAACAGGTAGAGTCGGTTGTGATGCGTCATGACGACCGGACGACCATCTGCGTCTCCTCACAGGCGGGAAAAAGGCTCATAGGGGTGTAAGGTAGTATGGAGGGCTTGTGGTTTTTTGTGTGCAGGATCCTGAGGCCTCTTCCAGTTCGTCCCTGAAATATTGAACGCAACATAGGTAGCAGTCAACATGTGTTAGGTGTTGTTTTGGTGGTTCCAACAAAGTGGGCTCAAGGTTGATGCAGACTCGGCGCATAGGGAAGTTTGTGGGAGGTCCCGAAACAAGGACTATGGCATTTGGGCGGCGGGGGGGGGGTACATTAAGGGTACCCCTACTTGTGGAAATGCCCATGTGGCTGCTGCGATCTTTGTGAGGAAATCCACGTGTTGCTTGCTCATTCTCTTCAGCCTTGCGGTAGGTAGGGGATTCGATTGCTGTATTACTGTATTACTTTCTTGCGGAGCGACTGACCCCGAAGTCGGATACTCGCAGGATTTACTTTCGGGTCCTCGAACCCTGGGGACAGGGCCTTACGCAATTCGTATTGGTCGGAGTTCTTGCAAACCCTTGGCCTTGAAACCCTAGATTATCCCCGCACCCTACACAAGAACCCTCAACCCTACAGCCCGAAATCGCAGGTCGGATGCCAGATGGGCTGCACCTTCTGTGCCACCGGAACCATGCCGGTTGTGGGCGACTCTCCGCTTGATCACTTAATAGGGTTTAGGGTTTAGGGTTTAGGGTTGAGGGTTGTTTGGGGCCTGGAAACGGACATTTGACGGCGTTTCAGCGTGGCGCGTGCTATCAAGACCTAATGTCACGATGCCTTATGTCGCCGTCAGCGACCCTGGTGACCTGGTGATAGTCGTCACGCCCGCAGGAAGCTGTGTGTCGGTCACATTGCGGGGCACCTGAATCCAGTGGAGCATTTTTGGCTTTGAACGTACTCTTGACCAAGAGCTTCTCTTCTTGCTCTCTTGCTAATGGCGCGCTCCACGAGGAAGGTCACCACTTGCGTTGTTGGGGCTGCATTGCTGGCATGCGGCCTCTCCAGCTCCGGATTCGTGCCAGGGGCGCTTCGCAGGACGGCTGCCCCAGTGGCAGCTGCGTCCGCAGCCGGCATGATGATGGCTCCGGCTGCGTTCGCCGACGAGATTGGTGATGCAGCGAAAAAGCTTGGTGATGCTTCCTATGACTTCGCGAAGGAAGTGGACTGGAACAACGGCATCTTCCTGCAAGCTCCTGGCAAGTTCCAACCTCTCCAAGCTCTGAAGGCGATTGACAAGATGATTGACATGGGAGCAGCCGCCGACCCCAAGCTCTTGAAGGCGGCGGCGGAGGCCCATCACAAGGCCATCGGAAGCATCTCAGGTGCCAACGGTGTGACTTCTCGGGCGGATTGGGATGCGGTGAACGCAGCTCTGGGCCGCGTCGTAGCATCCGTCCCCAAGGCAAAGGTCATGGACGTCTACAATGCCGTGAAGGACATCACTGACCCTGCCGTGCCCGCGTATATGAAGTCTTTGGTCAACGGTGCGGATGCCGAGAAGGCATACAAGGGCTTCTTGGAGTTCAAGGATGTGGTGGAAAAGAGCATTGGTGTTGATTCAGATCTATTCTTGACTTTGTCAGCATTCCCATGTCGTTCTGTATCTGCCGTGCTTCTATTCTTGGCATCTTTCATCTTTCAAATGAATTCCTTGAACAGATCCAAGGAACCAGGTGGCTGCGGTTGGTGCTCCTGCCACTGTGCCAACTGGGGACAAGATTGGTGCGGCAGCCAAAGCCCTTTCGGATGCATCTTACCCTTTCTTGAAAGAGGTGCGGGATTGCAAAGAAGAAAAGTTGGGGTCGATGGCCCTTGCTGTTTCTCATGATCTTGCTGAAGGTATACGAGAAACTTCACTTAGTTCCCATGCCATATCCAGTGCCTACATGTTTGCCATGGGTTTCCTTAGACCGAGAATGCTGGTTCGTTGTGTGCTTACCCTGAGGTGGACTGGCTGTCCGATGTTTACCTGAAGCCGCTGCCAGGCACCACCGCCCCCAAGGTGATGACTGCCATTGACAAGATGATCGTCATGGGCAGCCAGATGGACGGAAACCTGTTGAAGGCTGCTGCCGAAGCGCACCACAAGGCCATTGGCAGCGTCGATGCCAAGGGAGTGACGTCTGCTGCGGATTACGAGGCAGTGAACGCAGCCATCGGCCGAATTGTCGCATCAGTGCCAAAGGCCACCGTGATGGATGTGTACAACTCCATGGCCGCAATTGTGGATGGATCCATTCCCAACAACATGTTCTCCAAGGTGAACCCTCTTGATGCAGCTGCCGCTGCAAAGGGTTTCTACACCTTCAAGGATGTGGTGGCAGCTTCGCAACGCTGATGAGTGTTTGTGGCCGGTCGCGGCCCCAACTCTATGCACTGGTTGCAAACTTACCTTTTTGAACTGTACAGTGCCGAAGAACGGTGGAGTCGTTAGCAATTGACGACGATGTTGTGCCTTGAGGCAAGTCCTGCACGAAAGCCCCAAAAGGTTTGCCCCCCCCCCCCCCCAAAAAAAAAAACTGCTCGAAAGCTGCCTAGAAGGGTTCGCGGCTTATACCTGTACTGGCTTACAAGTGGGCTATAAGTAGAGTTATAATTGGTTAAGAAGTACCATGAACCTCCAAGCAGGGTAGCAGCGTCACACGCAAGACCCAGGATCTGGATGCTGGGGAGATCGTGGAGCAGCTCCCTTCTCGCAGCATCTTATGATGGGGTTTAGGGTCTATAGGGTTTAGGGTTTAGGGTTTAGGGTTTAGGGTTCAGGGTTTAGGGTTCAGGGTTTAGGGTTAAGGGTTTAGTTCCCCCAAGCCTAAACCCGAAACCTTTGTGTGGCGCAAGCAAAAGTAGTCTATTCACCAAACGGGGGGGAGGCTGTGGTGAATTTCTGCAGGGTTTTGGATTGTTGGTCTGCGCTGTGCTGTGAAAGGAAGAGTTTGGGTTTAGGGTTTGGGCAAGAATCGGAAGCTCCTCATTCAGGGCAGGGCCCATCCTCAATAACATCTCTCAAAATCGCAAGCCTTGGAACTTTCAGGCGATTCTGAAAAGACCCGAACGGATCGCCAGGTGATTCCTAGAGGTTCGCTGAATGCCGGGAATTCTCCTCACCGCTCTGGGACATGAATTCCTGGGGCATGGATTTCTGTCAGGATGCCCAATGATGTCCATACTTTCTGAGAATTCTGTCCGGGTAACCGGAAACCTGAACCCTAAACCCTAAACCCTAAACCCCAAACCCTAAACCCTAAACCCTAAACCCTAAACCCAGGCTCCTGGCTGCCCAGCGCTTCGAGGCGGCTGCGGGACGCCCGGTCGTGCGCAACGCGGTGCCCTGGCGTGTAGAGATGGGCGCTTAGGGCTTCGGAGGTTTGGGGGTTGGGATGTTCCCCCTCCTACGAAGAGTCCTTAACAGGGATTATCATAGGGGGTACTACAATGCCTATTAAGGACTGTTAGCATAAAGGGGAACATCCCAAGTTTAGGGGGCTGATGGTTTGGTGGTTTTAAGGTGGACCTGTATGCTTCCGGATACATGCCCTCAAACAACCGCCCTCGGGCTGAGGCTTTAGGATGTAGGCGGGCGTCACTTTAGGGCTCCATGGTGGCAGAGTTGGGGCTTTCAGGCTGGATGCTTTATCGTGGCTTCATACGTCTTTTATGAAACTAGGCCAGAGTACGACCTGAACCCCAAGCTCTTTTGGTCTTGCTTCATCCGGGCGCTTTTTTCAGGTTCTTCGTGGTTTTCCACTGGCCCTTTGTCTTGCCTCTCAAACCTATGCTGGGAAGGACAGACGTCCGCTGTTCCCTAACCCTACACCCTTTTCTAGGTTCCGGGTTCCCCTATCAACCGGCTTGGGTTCACAACAGAGGAAAACGCGTACAGTTGCTACACCATCCTCTCCAAGTTCTCCCGGCCCCCGAGGTTTTCATGGGGATGGGCGAGCCACTGAACAACTATGCGCTTTGGCTCGCGGTGAGAGCTTCAAGTTTCAGGGTTTTGCTTCGAGGCTTCAGGGTCAGGCAGAGGGCCCTAGGTCGATGCTGCATGAGCCAAATGAGACGAGGGAGACAAACGGAATCATGAAGGGAGCGTGCACACTCATCCCAAGAGGCGTGTCGACTTGCGATTTTTTCTTCATCAGCTCGAGAACCTCAAGCTTTAAATTAAGTCTCAGCAAAGTTATATCCCTATAGCAACCCCCCGAAACTCCATGAAGGCGATAGTAAGGGACCCTGCATATAGACCCGGAAAGAGTAGGATCCCCATCTGGTTAGGACCCCAATAAGATTTACCCCTAATATCGGAAACCCCCGCTTGGGAGTATGTAGGCCTGGTTCTTTGCAGCCGGCGAAGTGCCTGGCAGTGAGGGCAAGCCTCAGGCCCCCAAACCTAATCCACAAATGCTCCTCCCCACTGCACCCTAAGCCCTAAACCCTAAACCCTAAACCCTAAACCCTAAACCCTACAAATCTACAAGCCCTGTACTTCATGTGTGCCCGTATTGGTGCCCTGGGAACCCTAAACCCTAAACCCCATACCCCATACCCCATACCCCTAAACCCTAAACCCTCAACCCTAAACCCCAAACCCTAAACCCTAAATCCTAAACCCTAAACCCTAAACCCAGGACTCTGTTCTGTCCGCCGTGAAGACCATGACCGACCTGGGCCAGCTTCTGGACTTGGATGTGGGGTACACGAAAGCCCCCAGTTCAACCCCCCCCCCCCCAAGGTTTAGGGTTTAGGGTTTAGGGTTTAGGGTTTAGGGTTTAGGGTTTAGGGTTTAGGGTTTAGGGTTTACGGTTTAGGGCTTAGGGCTTAGGGTTTAGGGTTTAGGGTTTAGGGTTTAAGGTTCCAACAATCAAGTCGACATTCTGAAGTTGAGGCGAGGGTCCACCAGTGACAACTGGGACGAAAGTTGAAGTGACCATATGGTCGGCTCCCCCAAATTCGGGATCCCTGCTGATGCAGCAAACACGCAGCCTTTGTTGATTCGGAGCAGCCACGAAGGGACCTTGAGACTCACCCTACCCCCCCTTTAGAAGGCGCCCTTACAGCAGATGTCAAGTTCCGAAAGGACCAGCACCAATTGGCTTTGCCTTTACATGGTGGGCCCCCCACCTTGAGCACCTGAAGCAGTCTTGTTAGGCTTCAGGGCATAGGGCGCTACTTCCTGTTGGTTAGCAAGGATGTTGGTTAGCAGGGAATGAGGGCCCTATATATACCCTTTAAGGGATGATATAGGGTACCTCATTCCCCCATTCCCTACTAACCAACAGTAAGGCTGAGGAACATTCATTCACAGATACCCCAGAAAGTGCCCACGATCGAGCTGGCCCCCCGCATCGCGCGAAGCGAACGTCTCCCAATGATGGTCCCTCCCTGCGTACTCCTGGGCCCTAAACCCTAAACCCTAAACCCTAAACCCTAAACCCTAAACCCTAAACCCTGAACCCTAAACCCTAAACCCTAAACCCTAAACGTTGATCTCAGAGCCCCGCGCCCTGCGAAGACAAAAGGCTGGGAAGCTTTGCTCTGCCGCAGAGCCGGGTGACCATCTCGACCGTAGGAGCCGTGTCGTCTGGTTTTCTGCGGGAGGGTCTCAGGGGTTTAGGGTTTGTGGTTTAAGGGTTAGGGTTGAGGGTTCAGGGTTCAGGGTTCAGGGTTTATAAGTTTAGGTTTAGGGTTTAGGGTTTATGATAGGGTTTAGGGTTTGGGTGGGTTTGGCTGCGTTGGGAAAAGCCGCAGCATCCACTGCACTGCAGCCCGGGAGGGCTCCGGGGGGGGGGGGGTGGCGCAAGTAAAGCCTAAACTTTCAGCCCGACACCCACTTACACCCCCCTAATAGACCAAACCCTGTCAGCCCAAGAGCAGGAAATCCTCTTTGGGAACAGGGGGTTTACGATACTGGGGCTACCTTCTTGGGCTCCTTATTACAAGGGCTCCTAGTGTTGGGGGTCTATATTAGGAGTTTTCGTAAACCCCCAACAAGAACTCTGCGTTTCTGACATTTGAGCGAAAGTCAGAACCCCAGGAGTTGTGCCACGAATGCGGCAGCTGGCGAGAGATCTACCCGGCCTTAGCCTGGCTCTGTCGCTTCACGCTCCGACGCAGGCAAGGGTCATTGTCCTAAACCCTGAACCCTATAAACCCTAAACCCTACTAGGGGAGGGTGGCCTGAAATCTGAACTCCGAAACCCCCGAAAACCCCAAAAACCCTAATGCCTAAACCCTGAACCCAAAAAGCCCTAAACCCAAAAAGCCCTAAGCCCTAAAAGCCCTAAACCCTAAACCCTAAGCCCTAAACCCTCAACCCTAAACCCTAAACCCTGCCGAAGCTGCCAGGAGCTCCGGCAGAAGATCGTTCCTTCGGCCAAGAACGTACCCATGGAGGAGCTCCCGGGCTGCCGTTTGAAGTTAGGGTTTAGGGTTTAGGGTTAGGGTTTAGGGTTTAGGGTTTAGGGTTTAGGGTTTAGGGTTTAGGGTTTAGGGTTTAGGGTTTAGGGTTTAGGGTTTAGGGTTCAGGGTTGCAGGTTCAAGTGTTTTGGGTTTTGGGTTCATGACTGAGTGCTTAGGGCTTTGTTGTAAAGACTTGCTGATACATGTATAGCACGGTAAATGTCTCTGAACCAGCTCCCATGAAAAGCGAACAGACCAGGGATTCTTGTGTGGCGTGAGAGTATCCGTACTTCAGCATGTGACTTACACATGTATACAAGGAAGAAGCTTGTATCGCTGGCTACACGAGACATATGTAGATTCTCGTGTTGTAGATGGCATATTTGAGTCCTGCAAAGAAAGGTTTCGAGGGTGTGGGAGTTGGGGCCTTGTGGCTGCAGAATTCGAGCTCTTGGGTGCTGGGCCTGCAGGGGTGAGTGTTATGAAGGTCTAGCAGCTGAGGCTTGAGGGTTTAGAGGTTCAAGGTCCAACGAGCGACGCGACTTCGGATGGCTGAGTTTGTGATCTTTCTGCCTGCAAACCCTGTTTCCAATCCTGCTAAGCTCCTCCAAACCCCCAAGCCCTAAACCCTAAACTCCAAACCCCAAACCCTAAACCCTAAACTTCACTAAACCACAAGCCCTTTGTAAACCCCAACAGGTTTGTTTGTTGAACCTTTAGAGACTGGAACTCCACTCCACCCACGTCCCAGGCTACTGGCCGCCATGGACATTCACTTGGAGACGACGCCCGGGAACGAAGGGTTTTCGGGTTAGGGTCTAGCGTTTCGGGTTTAGGGCTGCAAAAGAAAGGAAAACCGAAAACGGTTCAGGATTTAGGACCTAAGAGATCAGGATTCAGGGTTTCAGGTTGAGGGGCTTGGGCTTCGGTGGGGACCTCTGTTCCTTGACAGCTTGCCGCAGGCTCACGCCGCGACTTGGCCGACTGTCTCTCGCCCCAGACCCTCCGCCCCGAAAACCCTGCATCCGGAGGTCCTAAACCTTACAGGCTCCCGAAAGCCCAGCCCAAGATGTAGCAAGCCAAGGTGTAGGCACCAAGTACTAAATCACCAGAAGCTTCATTTATAAGCCCTGAAACCCCAGACCTTCAACCCCAAACCCCTAAACCTGAAACCTCAAGCACCGCACCCCAAAGCTGGCTCAGGAAGACCGCGCGTGCGATGGTCGCCGCTCGATGATAACTTGAGGTTGGGGCGTGGTGCCTTTTAGGGGTTTAGGGCTTAGGGTTTTTTAGGGGTGCAGCTCTAGTGGTTCGTAAAGGGTGTAGGGGGGTTTGGAAGATCATGGCTTAGTATGTTGAACTTGGAGCTTCGGGCCTTTTGAGAGTCAGGGTTTTTCAGGCTTAGGGTTTTTTGGAGGTTAGGGTTGCTAGGGATGTCGGCTCTATCTCGCTCTGGGGCGCACGCACCGACACTTTCGACTTCAATGTGTGAGCTGAGAGCTCTTTTCCCTCACTGCGCCTAGTTTTACACGGATGCCAGAAACCCACAAAGTACGCTGCTGTTGCTTTCTAGCACCTTCCTCTGAGCTCAACAGCCCTATCTCTCTAATTCAACCTCATACCCAGCTGCGCAGGCAAATTCGCAATCTTGGAAGTCTAGACCTCTAGAGCACAAACGCTGGCCCATAAAGCTCTTCTAGCCTAAATCCCGTCCCTTGAAGCCGAGAGACCTCAGCCCCAACTGCCTGAGCTCCCTTCACTGAAATAGCACGCCAAAATCCCTGACCAAAACACCCCGAGCAGGGCACCTACACCTCGTAAAACCCAGAGTCTTGGAGGGTTTCCAGGCTTTTCGGGCTCTCAGGGGCACCTAAACGCCCCAGGAGTACGTGCTCCTGGCTGACGTCAATGACACCGACGACTGCGCCAAAGAGCTGGGCAAGCTGTTGGCTCCACGAGCCCGCAAGGCATGGCAAATGCTGGCTGAGGTTTTGAGAGAGCGTTTTTGAGGGCTTTGAGGGATTTTGAGGGCTTTGAGAGCTTTGAGGGCTTTGAGGGGTTTGAGGGGTTTGAGGGGTTTAGGGATTTTGTGTTGCTGAGACGGGCTGAGGGTGGCTGCTGAACTTCTCGCTTTCATTTCCAATGGCCCCTTTGCCCTGAAAAGCCAAGCGAGGCTGCAGGGGCGTGAAGGCTCAGAGTGTTGAGCGCCGTCGATGTTTGTGTCTTATGCATTCTTCATCGACGTGCTGTCCCTCGGAATCGGATGCTTTAGCCGCACGCCACGATGCGATGTACGCAGATGTTGCCAGGAAAAGGCACTGATTCGCTGATACCACGTCTGACTTGCTCATAAAGACCGGATCTTCCCGCCATGATCGCGCTCCGAAATCACCTGTCATCTGACCTCCTTTGCACCTGTGCTCTCAAGAAGTATCCTGTCTTCCTTGCTGCGTACCCCTCCCACAAACCATGGCAAACACAGACACCCGAAACCCCCAAACCCCCAAGCTCCCAAACTGTCCAGGTCATGGTGAACTTGATCCCCTACAACCCCGGCGCCTCCTCCATGCCGGACGGCTTCCGAGCACCGCAACATCAGCGAGTAGAGCGTAGCCTGGCCAAAGTTATTGGGAAAATTGCAGGGCTCTGCAGAAGACAGTAGAGTCTTAAGGGTTTAGGGTTTAGGGTTTAGGGTTCAGGGTTTAGGGTTAGGGGTTAGGGGTTAATTAGGGTTTAAGACCATGGCATATGAGGATATATACCTATCATGAAATGGAAGTAGTCAGCATTGTGGCATTGTGTATACTATATCATGTGTATGGAGCCCACAAAACCGTTCTGCAAGGGCTTTGGGAGGTAAGGATCCGGAGGAGTTTTCGGGCCTCGAGGTAATAATCTCCTGCGCTGGGGTTTAGGGCTTAGGGCTTAGGGCTTAGGGCTTAGGGCTTAGGGCTTAGGGCTTAGGGCTTAGGGCTTAGGGCTTAGGGCTTAGGGCTTAGGGCTTGGGGCCCAGACTTTAGTAGGGCCTTTAAGGTTTGGGGGGTCCTCGCTTGTTGCTCTCAAGCAGATAAACGAGAAACTCAACCAGCGCCTGAAATCAGAAGCTGGTTGGGTTTAGGGACTGGCCTCCGCCTTCTTATGTCAGACGCTTCGGTGCTCCAGTTCTGGAAACTACCCCGATATGGGGGTTTCCGAAATCAGGGGTACCTGATTGGGATCCTCATCATAAGGGGATCCTACTATTTGGGCATTTATCTTTGGGATCCCCTATTTTTCGTAAACACCGACAAGACAGTAGATTCGCACGAGTCGATTCGCACGCTGCCACCGCCCATTTCTCACGGAGCAGGCTTTCAGCAGATCCTCGCGAATTGCAACATCATGACAGCCGGGCTGCAAAACCGCTTTGTTCTGAAACAACTTCGGGGAGACTTGGCCCCAGCTATTCGGGATGACACGTGTTCGGCTGATTGCTTGGAGTCATCGAGCTCTTTGTGGGCATAAGGTGTAGAGTGTAGGTTTGGGGGGGTGTGAACAGACTCTCGGCTCCGTGCTGCCTCTGATGGCTCATAGGGCCATGGAGGTCCCGCACCTCCCCCTAAAGGGGTACCCCAGATGTACCCTGCTAGTTGTGCTACTTTAGTTCTTCGAGTCTATGGGGGGACCCCATGAAGAAGAGTCAGTGGCTGCGCTCCTTTGTGCTTTTCGTTGCCCCCAAACTCTGACTCAGTCCAATCCAGGTTGAGGGTTTTCCTGCGCAGGACTCGAGTAAGACGGGAGATGGGCCAGGACATATCTGGGGCCTGCGGGCAGCCTCTCGACAGAACACTGTCACGAGGGGCTTTTTAGGGATTCTACGAAGGCTTTCAAGATTCAGAGTTCTGGTTGCCCTCAGAAACATGGCGCAGTCAGAAAGAAGCAGGCAGAAGCTGTTCTATATTCTGTTCCTTTCGCTAGAAGATTTCAGCATACAAGCTACCCATAGATGGGACCTTTGCAAGAGAATCCCCTGCGCCCTAAAGCCAAATTTAGAAACGCCCCCGACATGGGTCAAGGCTGCAGCGTTGGGTAGAACCGCCCACAGCAATCTGAAACTTGAAGCTCGGGGTTTAGGGTTTAGGGTTTAGGGTTTAGGGTTTAGGGTTTAGGGTTTAGGGTTTAGGGTTTAGGGTTTAGGGTTTAGGTTTAGGGTTCGAAGATGTTCAAAGTGCTCACCTTTTGAAGAGTGTTGGCCCGGTTTTCTTCAAGCCCTACGAGCTTTTCTTTCCCTTTGAAGCTGAAGATCTCTGCTCTGTTTAGCATTCCAAACCCCCAGAGCCTTGAATCAGAATCCACAAGCTGCTAAGCTCCTAAACTGCCAAGCCCGAAACCGTAACCCTAAACCCTCGACCCTAAACCCTAAAACCCTAAACCCTAAACCCTAACCCCTAAAACCCTAAACCCGAAAACGCTAAGCCCTAAAACCCTAAACCCTAAACCCTAACCCCTAAAACCCTAAACCCGAAAACCCTAAGCCCTAAAACCCTAAAACCCTAAACACGCAAGCTTCCCAGGCTTGCTCTAACGGAGTGCCCGGCCTGCTTCTTGCGGGGCTCCCTTTGCCGGGCCTGGGCGGTCCTAGGGTTGAAAGGGGGAGGGGGGTGGGTTTAGGGTTTAGGGCTAGGGTTTAGGGTTTAAGGTTTAGGGTTCAGGATTAAGAAGGGCTGTGGATGTGCGAAGTGCCCGAAACTCTTGAGGGGGTGTTTATCGGGCCCCAAAGTCATCAAGCCCCCCCCCCCCCTCCCCCGGTCCAACTTCCCCTCCGCACGGGCTAGGACTGAGGGTCTCCCAGTTGACTTTCGTAGGGAAAACCGGACACCCCGAGTCTGTCGGGATCTTTTCGCCTGCAAGCGAGTAGGGACTTGGGAAGGGTTTGGTTCAGGGTTTCGCTAGGATGGTAGTCTTCCAGGGTTTAGGGAAGTGCGTTGAGCACCATTCGGCAACTGAGCGCCAGCTTAGAGCTCGCCGTAAATCCGGAAAGCAGACTTATGAGCTGCTGGGAGGATGTTGTTCGGGCTTCGACCCCACTGGTCTCCAGTATGAGAGGTTCCCCGCACAAAGAAGACTGCTTACCAGCATCAGGGTGTTTGGTTTAGGGGTTCAGGCTCTGCCCCGCCTGTCCTTAGCAATGCCCAGCGTACCAGCCGTCAAACGCGTGCTTGCCAGGAGGGTGGCCGCGCGACGGACCTAGAGGCGTGAGGGATGAGTAGACTTGAAGATTGATGGGTAGCTCAAATTCTAGTTAGGGAGAAAAAGTCTAGGTTTTCTATGTAGCAGGGTACCCCATTTGAATTACTTATGCCCCCGACTGTCCCAAGAACCGGTGAAGTCTCTTTCAAGTGAAGTCCCCGCAGGCGCTTCAGGGTGGAAAATCCATTCGACATCCCTCTTGCCTGGGTTCCCTTACTCCTTACGTACTCGCAAGGTTCCCTCTTGGGTGTTTTTTGCGAGGATCTAAATCACGGCCCCGTTTGGGCATGAATGAAGACATGCTCCTCTGAGTTGTTGACCACTTCGATCTGCGAAGTTAGAAACTAGCAGGTGCTTGCCGTTGGGGGGTCCTGTCTGAAGATACGGATTGCAGAAACGTGGCCTTGTTTGTGAGGGTTCCATGTGTAGCGTTTGCGGTCTGAATAACAACAAGGCTTGAAACAACATGAGTCGAGACAAAGTTTGTATGCACATTGCAAATGATGAGTGATGGAAGCCCTCACAACCTTTGGAAACCTTAAGCCTCAATCCAGCCGCCCCCTAAATGTTGAAGCCTCGATCCAAACACTCTACCTAGCAGCGTGTGCCAGGACTTTGTCGCGTGGAGACGACGTCAGCCACAGTCCACCAAGAACGCGGTGCACGCTGAGTGCGCAGCAGCTCGGAGTCGTTGCTTAGGGTTTTGGGGAGTTTCCGATTGTAGGGTTGCACAGGCCCCCCAAACATTTGCACCAGTGGCACACGCTCCACATGAGTCTATCGTGGGCTTCCGAATTCTCCCGCTTGCAATGTCAAGTTTGAACCCAAGCTATGCACGAGCTCAGGCAGTGGCTGCGACAGCCACTGGCACGTCGCAAGCGCCTCCGATGCCACATGGGGTTGTTGCGCTTGCTAGGCCAATAAGCAAAAGCCGTTTTCACAAAGACCCCCAAACCGACCCTAATCGACTAATCGACAACAACCCCATCTATAAAGCTTGCTGTGGGATCATCATGGCTTTGGCACTGTCGAATGCAGGGCGGTGGCGGTTTTCCGTTCTGCTGAGCTTCTTGTCACCACGTCAAGGCTTGTGGAAAGATGTGAATCCTGTGGTTTGAATCCGAAAGTAGTTAGGGCTTTGGGTTCAGGGTGTGGGTTGCCAGCAAGGTGCCCCAGCCCATCAATCACGGTGTACAGCAACCTGGCAGCCTGTGATGTGATTTTGCAGGGTTTCGGTGCGATCACATTGAGATCTATAAAGCTCTAGCTTAATTCTGTGGGGAGTAATTTCTAACCGTTAACAGAGGACCCAGCTTCTTTCCAAACAGTCCTGTACGCCATAGCGACATCGTACGCAGTGATGCCACGGTGAGCAGGCAATTCAATTTGGATTTGTGTTGGTAAAAGACTTTGCCTTTGCTTACTTGGTGGCTTGTCTGTGTAAGGGGCCATGAATGAGTGTTGACGGGCTTCCAAAAACATTGCAAACGGAACCTTGGGGGCTTCCCCGCTGAGCTTGACGAGGTTCCACAACATCGCTGCTGCATGAGAGCCTATGAGAACCCTGAACCGCCCATGCCCTAAATCGCAAAGTGCCGGCTCCACTCAGTGCGTGACCGACAGTCTCGGGCTTCAGGGTTTTACGGATTCAGGACTTCAGGCTCCACGAGTGGGAAGATGGAAAGGGCTCTCTAGGGTTTGGGGTTTAGGG